CCAAAGTTCAAAGTCTGTTCTGGGACTCATGACAATCTCTTAACTATCACCCCCTGTAAAGTCACAATGAAAAAAAGCATATCACAAACTTCCAATATACCATGACACATTTCCATTACAAAAGGGAGGGAAGGGAACATTGTGAGGAAATAATGGATCAGAGCAAGACCAAAACCCAACAGAGCAAACTCCAAATTCTACATCTCCATGTCTGATGTCAAAAGTACTTGTCAGATCTCCAACTCCTTTCAGCTATGTTGACTACAACATACTTCTTTTCTTGGGCTGGTTCCACACTCGTATGCAGCTCTCCTTGGCAGGTTACCATGACTCTGGCATCTCCAATATCTTGGGGTCTCCAACACAATCCAGGCTTCGCCTTCACAGCTTCACACAATGGCCTCTCCAAGGCTCTATGTAGGGGCACCCCTACCACAGGCTTGGCTCAGTGGCTTTCCTTAGACGCAGATGCAGATTCCACAACTTATTTCTTGTATTCTTGACTCTAAAGCCAGAAACATGTGGCTGAGGCTGCCAACTTCTGCTACTTGGCTGAGACTGGGACAAGGCCTCCCTCATTTAGTTTCTTTTGCATCTGCTCTCTGTTTTCCATGCTTTCCTTCAATGCTTGCTTAAGCTTTTAATTCCTTTTCACAAGTTTGAAGCTTAGCTGGGTGGGGTCTTGCCCTGAGGTCACTACTCCATTTAACACCAGGCTTTTCTTTAAGCATTTCATCTCTTTGAGCACTAGACTTAGCTCCATTACATTTCTTGGTAATCCTTTTCTCCTCAAACTGTACATTTTATATTTCTCCTTGCCCCACTTGCTCCTTTTCATTGTAGATCTGCATAAAAGTGACCACTAGCAACCACATGACCCAGTCAATACTGGGCTGTCTTGAAATTGCCTCTGCCAATGTCATTAATCCAAAACTCTTCAATTTAGCTTCTGGCAAATTTTTAGGACAAGGGAAGAAAGCAGCCACATTCTTTACCAAAATATCACCAAAATGGTCTCATGGCTATTTACTAATTTCTTCCCCTTTGAAACTTCTCAAGCTGGGGCCAAACAGTTCAAATCACCCTCAGCACTATCTTCCATGCTTCTACTAGGATTGCCCATTAAGCCACACTTAAAGTGTCCAACCACTTTTCTAGACCAAAGTCCAAAAGACTTTTGCATTCCTCCAACAAAGCAGCATGGTCAAGCCTATCACAGCAATAACCTAGTCCTTGGTAGCAACTTCTGTTTAGTCACTGTTTGTCATGACACCATGACCAAGACAATTCTTATAAAAGAAAGCATTTAACTAGGGGCTTGCTTACAGTTTCAGAGGCTTAGTCCATTATCACCATAGCATGGTGGTAGACATGGTGCTACAGAAGTAGTTGAGTGACATTCTGACCCACAGGCAGAGAGAGAGAGAAAGAGAGAATATGTATGCATGCCTGGGCCTACTGTGGGCTTTTGAAACCTCAAAGCCCACCCCCAGTGATACATTTACTGCAACAAGGCCGTACCTCCTCCAATTATGCCACATCTTCTAATTCTTCAAGTAGTGCTACTACCTGGTGACTAAGCATTAAAATACATGGGCCTATGGAGGCCATTCTTATTTAAACCAACACATATTGTCTATACACAAGGGACTATATCTATTCAATACCCAAGACACATGAAAAAGAATTTAAATACCTAGTGATGACAGAAGGTTAAGAAAGACAGTTCGGCTCTCCTACATGGTGTGAGTTCTCAGTGACAGCCTCCCTCTCTCTGTTAAACAGTAATTCTCTCTATGTGCTTCAGTGGTGCTGGCTGGGGAACACTGCCGCAGAACTGCCAAACTCCTGTGGCTTGTTGTATGATAGGCTGTAACTTGAGGAATGCCTTTTCAGGAATGATAAATGCTTGACATACATGCTTCTCAGCTCTTCACACCACAGTAGATATGCTTAGCTTGTCATGTCCTTCACCCAGTGCCAAACCTCTACACAAGAAGCCTAATACAGCATATTAGGACTCCACTACCCACTAATTCAAGTTTGTTGCGTTTCAAACTCATTTATGCTTCATGACAGGGCTATTAGAAGTGATCCAAATGCTACTAACTGGAACCACCAGCAATGTCACCATAGGCTGAACATTTGTAGTTTCAAGTGACAATGCAGAATAATTGACAGCTGGGTGGGTGAACATGCAACATCTCTCCACTTAGTTATCTTTGTTAATGCCCTTCAAGAAAAAAATTAAATTCTTTACATATAGTTAAGAATTTTTTTTTACCAGATTTATACATAAGAGCTAGGATATGTATACATTTTGTTAATAATTAATGGCATCTTTATAAAGAATACATTTTCTAATGGTTACTGGGAAGACATGAAAATTGTCAAAAAATGATCAAAAAAGTATATTGATCTTATACCCAGTTAAACTATCACAGGTTAATCACCTAGTCTGAAAATCTGTTTTGGTGGCATGAGGTCACTGTGAAAAAACTAAAGAGTCAAGATAGACTTAGGAAATAGAAAGTTATTATGCATTACTGAAATATTCAGTCCAAAAGTATTCACTGAGCACCAGCTGCCTGGCAGTCACTTCTCAAGATCTAAGGAGGCACAAAAGCAAACTTACATATCAGATATGGTTAAGTGCTTGAAGAAAAATAGAGCGGGGTAAGAAGGATGCTTTCTTATGTGAAGGCCAAGGAAACAGCTCTGGTAAGGAGACATCTCAGCAGAGACCTGAGGGAAGTGAAGGCTTGTCAGAAGACAGCTGAAGGAAGTCTTGTAGGCTAAAGGAACCATCAGTACAAAAACTCTATTCATATTCAAGGACAGGAAAACCACCTTGTCTAGAGCAGAAGCAACCAGAGAGAGTGGCAATAAATGAACCTGAAGGATGGGCGTAGGAGTGAGGACGCAGGAAGATCCTGCAAGGCCTTGTCCATGTTGAGCATTGTCTCTCTGTATGAAAAGATGCAGATATTACAAGATATTACCAACTGGACTAAGGGTTTGGCTCCCCTCCAAATAAGAGGGTTCATCTGAGCATTTTATAAAAAGAGAAGTAAATTCTGAGTAACATTTTCAAAGACTCATTCTAGCTGTTGTATGGAGAGCAAACTACTGGGAAACAAGAGCTATAGCAGAGTCCAGTGGTGACACCATCCCAATATTCCAAGAACACGACAGCTCCTACTCATGGCAGCAGTGGACATGGTGATGCTGCGTTCTTTTCAAGGGGAGGCCAATTATTCTGGTTTGCACTGTTATGACAGTTGTTAAACAAAGAGGAACATCAAGATGACTCCAAAGGTTCTGGCTGACTTATTGAAAAAGACCGTTATCATTTAGATAGAAAGTTTTTTAAATGTGTCAGGAAAGGGTGGCTAGTAGTGGGAGTATCAAGAGGACAATTTTAGAGCTGTTAAATGTGAATGCTTATTACACAGCCAAAAGGAAATGTGAAGCAGACATGCAGGTACGTAGATGAGATCAGTAATAACGTCAGAATCTCCTGTTTGACTTTTATTTTCTTTTTCAAGTGTAGATGCCACTAAGTTCCATGCTGTGATTTTATGTATGTTGCCTTGATAAAACACACTGAACAAAATCAACTTAGAGGAAGAAGGGGTTTATTTTGTTTACAGTCCAAGTTACAGTTCATCATTGAGAGAAGGCAGAGCAGGAATTCAAACAGAAACTTGAAGGCAGACCTGCTTTGTTTTCTATAGAGCATTACTTCTGACCAAGGAACTGACTCACAGTCAATGGAGCACAACAGAAATCATGGAGGAATGATGCTTGCTCCTCTGTACAGGCTATGCTTAACTTTCCTATACAGTCCAGAACCACCTACCCAGGTGTCTTAGTTACTGTTCTATTGCTGTGAAGAGACACCAATGACCATAGCAACTCTTATTAAAAAAAAAAAGTATTTAGGTGGGACTCGCTTATAGTTTCAGAGGTTTAGTTCATTATCATCATGGCAGGAAGCATGGAGGCATGCAAACAGAAGTAGCTGAGAGTTCTACATCCAGATCTGCAGACAGCTGGAAGAGAGGCACTGAACCTGGCTTGGGCTTTTGAAACCTCAAAGACCAACCCCCTCCCCCTCCCCCATGACACACTTCCTCCAACAAAGCTATACCTAGTCCAGCAAGGCCACACCTCCTATTCCTTCTCAAGTAGTGCCACTCCCGAATGACTAAGCATTCAAACATATGAGCCTATGGGGGCCATTCTTATTCAAACCACCATACAAGGGATGGCACTGGGCCCTCCTGTATCAGTTAACAATCAAGAAAATCCCCTAGAAACGTACCTACAGGACACTCTAATCCAGACAATTTTTCAATTAACTCTCTCTGAGTTAAAGCTAACCAGGAACATCTATATTTTACATGTTCATTTCCTGGTGATATATTTTGAAAGAGGTAATGATCAAATTACCACAATAACTGATAACTTCATAATTGAATAATGAACTACATTGTTTGAAAAGATCCAATTAAGTCAAAATTGAATTTAAATGAATGCTCTAAAAAGAACTATTGAATCTATAAATATTAAAAATTTAAACTAAGCTAATCTAAAAAATAGGAACATAAAAAGGCAATTATAAAAATTCCACTAGTGAAAAACTGAGTCAAGTACACACATAGAAAAGCAAGACTATCAAGGCAAGAGAAGCTGTGTTATCTAAAGGGAACCACACAAAAAATCCATCCATGTACTTTTATGCAAGCCTTTGTTAAGAACATTTAACCTGCAAGGGATCCTCCCAGCCTCCATCTCTGGCCTTTCAGAGTAGACTTGAGAACCTGGAATGGAATACCCTTCTGAATAACCTGTCCTTGTATTGAATAAGAAATTTCCCCAAGTATTTGAGAGTAAATGTTTAAAGAAAAGGCTAGCAGCAGTGGTGGTCTACAAGGCCAGCCTGGTCTACATAATGAGTCTCAGGACAGCCAAGGCTACAATAGTGAGACCCTGTCTCAACCTCCCACCCCACCAAAAAAGTATCCACTCTTAGTGCAGTCATATTGCTTAACTGTGCAGATGTTCACTTGCCAGGCATAAAAATCTTCATGTTCTTAGAAACAGAGTCTTGATGCTATACAGCAAATACTGTCTGTCATTCTGAGCTGCAGATAGCTTGCACTTATAATGGGCTTACATTCTCTGAGATTTAGTACTTCCTCTTTTTGTTCCAGGATTACAGGTCTTGGCAACCATTGAAAAGATCCCATTTGAGAGTGCTTTCAGAAGGCCAAATGCTGACTTCACCACCAACAACTTCACCACCCAGTATTGGAACGCTGTCAGTCATCGGGCCCCAGCCATCATCTACGACTTCTATCTGAGGCTCACTGGAAGGAAACCCAGGTGAGAAGTTGTAATATTGGCTTTAGTAGTGTCATTGCATGGAACCCAAAGTCCTTAATCCTCCCTACAGCTGAGAATTGAAGGAGACAAATCTCTCTCTCTCTCTCTCTCTCTCTCTCTCTCTCTCTCTCTCACACACACACACACACACACACACACACACACACACACACGTTTTTCTCATCTTTTTACCTATTGTGTATGTGTGTGATCTTGAACATAACCTTTCTGTAAAGTTAATCCGAATAAATTCTGACTACATCACAGTCCTAGGAGGTTTTGAGAGGAGAGCTGTTTCGTGTTCTGAGCATAGAGCTAGAAAACACAGTCCATTGCAAGAAATGGACACAGGGCAGTGGGACTGCAACAACAGAGCTTCTCTGGGGTTGGTCAGAACTTCGTGGGAGTTTGAATGCTGACCCTCTAAGGTTATGAACCATATTCAGAAAAATGTGGGCAAAGACCTGCCTACAAGGCTGTTAGGAAAATCAGCAAAGACAGTATTTTCTGTAAGTGTCAACACTGTCTAACTTTAAGTCTGTCTTCCTTAAGTATGAATTACAAGCTTTTGCTTCACCAAGTGCTAATATAGTCAACACTCTGCCAAAAGTTAATATATTAAGACCTGAGATCCTATTTTTGTTTTACAAATTTAAGAAATACAATAAAAAGAAATTAGCTTTCTAAAGATCTGCCTTAAATCAGTAAAACAAAACAAAATAGTAATCCTTTCAAGCAAATAACTAGCTCACTTTTGAAATGTCTAATGAGAAAGGGATGGGTTTGGCTAGGAGGGCTGTAAAATGTCTGTTAGCTTCATTATTTCCTTTAACAGAATTAAGATGGAAAGTGGGGAGAAATGATAATTCTAACTTTCACAGAAATTTGCAAGCCCTTCTAGCACCACAAGTAGATTTTAGAGAGAATGAGCAATTTGTTAGATCTATTGCTGTCTCTCATGCACATGAAGGAAGGGGTAAGGTACTTTACAAAAGATTAAAGAGAAGCTTGATGGTAGAAACTGTTATTGTTGTTAACTAGCCAAAGGAGGACTGTTACCAAGAAACTGGAAAAAAAAAAAAAGAATTCTGGGAAATTGGAGGAAAGAGGGATGCATTTTTGTCTTGTTTTTTTTTTTTTTTAATACTTTTATTGATCTCAGTAAGTAGCCCAGGCATATCTTGATCTCATGTGTGTTTTCCTGCCTCAGCCTCCTCAGTGCTGGTATTACTGGCATGAGCCCACCAAGGTTTGCACTTCCTTGATGATGCTGGGCCACCCTTCCCCGTGGAGGAAGAGGCGGTGTGCAGGGCGCACTGCACTAGCTGTCTGGTCTCTCCCTCAGGATGCTGAAGCTCATGAACCGGCTCCTGAGAACCATCTCCATGTTGGAGTATTTCATCAACCACAGTTGGGAATGGAGCACAAACAACACAGAGATGCTTCTGTCAGAGCTGAGTCCTGAAGATCAGAGAGTAAGTACGGCTCTGACTCCAAGCGCAGGGACAGTGCACTCTGGGAACTCAGGATTATGAGACAGGTTGTGGCGGGAATCCTAACTGGTCTTAATAATAAAAACCTGGAGTCAGATATAGGGGTAAATGCTGAAAGATCAAAGAGACCAAAGAACAAGCCACAGCCACACCACCTCTTACCTTGCCAACTCCTCAGCCTGAAAGAGATTGAGCTGTCTCCTCTTGACTTAATATTCCTCTCTCTACCCAGCCATATCACTTCCGGTCTCCACCTCTCTAATGCTGGGATTGATTAAAGGCATGAGATCCCAAGTGCTGGGATCAAAGGTGTGAGCCACCACTGCCTGGCTCTGTTTCTCTTTTAGACTGGATCTTGTGTAGCCCAGGGTAGCCTTGAACTTGGAGATCTATCTGCCTCTGTCTCCCGAGTGCTGGAATTAAAGGTACCACTGCCTGACCTCTATGGCTAACTAGTGGCTTAGCTCTGCACTCTGATCTTTAGGCAAGCTTTATTTGTTAGATCATAAACAAAATATCACCACAACCAGTAATGCTGATGAGGAAGTGTTGAGTAAACATAAGGAAGATGATTTTTTTTCCTAAGGAAACCAGACAATATCTGTTGTCCTTTTTTTAATGGTTGCTGCCTTTTAAGCCACAGCTGTCTGACTCAGCAACAGCAACTCTGCTGCTACCAACAGCAGTTAGTTAGGCCACAAGGGCCGCACAGCTGGAGGGAAATCGGTTCCCTCGGCTCCAACTCCTGCAAAGCTATGAGGGGAACTTAACTAAACCTCTCTCCCTCTAAAGAACTCAAGATTCAAAGGTTAAGGTGGAATTCTGCTCTTCAGAGAGGCTGAATAGCAAGTCGCTCACCTCCTCTCCTTGCTCGAGTCCTCCAAAAAGTCCCCATGCTTCTCCTCGCCCCTCCTTATAAACCCTTTCTCACCTGGCCTCCTTACCATTTTCTGTCTGCTAGTTGCTGATGCAGCCTTCTGACAGCAGGTAAATTTTTTTTAATCAAACACATCTTTGTATCATTAAACAAACATTCCAGAGCATAAACAAAAGCAACACATCTTGAAATAATATTCTACAGCAAAATCAGCATTCACAGGAAACAAGTTTACTGCAGCTAGAACTAGTTTGTAGATTGTGATGAGAACTTCACTGCTGCTGGATGTAGTGGCATGCTTGGCAACCCAGTAATGGGGAGGTTGAGAGAAGTGGGGCCAGCAAGTCTAGCCATATTGATGAGCTCCGGGCACCCACACTGGACAAGGTGACTGCTCCGCAGTGCAATGCTGACAGCCCATATATTTTGCTTCATAGGTATTCAACTTTGATGTGCGCCAGTTGAACTGGCTTGAATACATTGAAAATTACGTTTTGGGAGTTAAGAAGTATCTACTGAAAGAGGATCTGGCTGGTATCCCCAAAGCAAAGCAACACCTAAAAAGGTAGGTGCATTCCTTGCTATGTGTGAGGTGTTCCTGTTGATTGACTTTACACAGGGTTCTGTATGAGAATTAAATCACCCCACCCCAATTTATGAAGTGCCAATTATGAGGCTGGATTCACACTTGAGCATTAGAAATCCGACATCCACACTACTGTGTAATACACAACGTTGAATTTAGACCTCACTGCACCCCTGAAGCAGGTATTTTTTTTTGTTAGGCCATTAATACAAGAAGTACTTAGGGCACAAAAAAGACAGAATGTTGTTCATGGAAACAAATAATGGAGCCAGGCTCAAGCCCAAGTTTGTTTCTTCTTGTGTACTGTATCAGTGTGACCTAATACCCAAAAGGCAGATCATGCTCTTGGAAAGCCATGTAACTACTCTTCAATTCTTACAATTCCTTCCTACTTCTTTTAGTCAAATTCCTGACAAATAAGTTACAGGATGTAGGTCATGATTCCTGCAAAAACTAAGGTTTGTAGTCGAGGTGGTAACAATGGGAAGGTAGACAGCCAAGGAGGAGGACACTTGAAAAGCAGGCTGTAAAGTTCATTATCTACCCTCCAGCCAATAAGTGGCTGAAGGCTTTTAAAAACTATGCATGGTGTGTGGATGTGCATGTCATAGCCATGTGGAGGTCAGGAAACAACTCTGTGGACTCAATTTGCACGTGGAGGTCAAAGGACAACTTTGTGGAGTCAAATTCCTCCTTTGACCCTTACATGAGTTCCAACTCAAGTTCCAGGCTTGCTCCAAAAATGCATTTACTCAGTCATCTCACTGATCAGAGAAGATTTTCGATATTGAAAGGTCAGAGTGTATTTTAAAAACATTATACTCATCCATGAATCATGCTTGTAAAAAGAGCTCCAAACAGAAGTAGGAGAAAGAGTAACAAGCTAGGAAAACATGAAGGAAACATGATTATTCAAGAAAGGAAATGAAAGACATAAAGACCTAGGAACACCAGGCCATGCTGTGGGCTCTAAGAACTAGGTATTTGCTGCTAACAGACAGGAGGAACACATTTACACTTCAGGTAACACAGCTGGGTACAGGTGCTGTCTTAACTGTGCTTTTGTTTCTGTCCCTCAGGCTCCGGAACATTCACTACCTCTTTAACACTGCCCTGTTTCTTATCGTCTGGCGCCTCCTCATCGCAAGGTCTCAGATGGCTCGGAACATCTGGTTCTTCATTGTGAGCTTCTGTTACAAGTTCATCTCCTACTTTAGGGCCTCCAGCACACTCAAGGTCTAATTAAGAACATTCCACCAGCCCATCATCTGGAACCTCAAGATACCTCTAAGGCAGTAAACTGTGTCTTAAACTAGGAAGTAACAAGAAGCCTCCCAAGCTTCCAGTCAAACTTGCCATTCCATCTTCTTTTCTACTTCTTTTCACTGTATTTTTTAAAAAAATTTGGCTCCGTGAGGAAAGTCAGCCTCTAACTGCATACATTTACAAAAACCTAACTTCCAGATTGTCTTGACATCATCCACTCTACACTATCACACATGAAGCATGAGAGCACCCCTCTTCCTATACTTTCCCTTCCCCGACACAACTAATTTCAATGTACTGAGCACGGAAGAACACATGGCAGAAGCCAAAGCATGCTAGAGAAAGGCAGCACTAACCAGGGAGGCATGCTCAGTAGCAAGGCACAAGTTCCCAACCATGGTGGAGGAGGGCAGCTCAACATCCTGACAATGCCACAGTAGAGTCCTGGTTGAGTTGAGGGGTGGGAGATGGGAAAAATAGACTTATGTCTGCCCTGTTTCTCACTTGTGTCTGTAGCTTACACCAAATATGAACTTAATCACATGCCCCAGGGAGTCTTACGTACTTAAGTCAAAGTTTAAAGCGTCTTATGATTTTGATATCCCTTAGTCTAACTCTTTTTAATCACCATTGTCCCGAAAACCTGCTTAAGTTTCCTTCTCATTTATTGATATTGCCAAAGCCCTTCTATTTAAGTGTACTTCACTCAGACACCAGTTAGCAAGGCTGATGGGGAGAGGGAAGTTCCCAGACTAGAACTATGGAAACCCTCCAACCTTTGCCAGTGAGGAAAGCAAAATTTCAAATAAAATTTTAAGTTCTAGTTTTTGTCTTCATGTGTGGAGCTGGGAAGAGCATGTTCCTGCAGCACCTGAGGTCCCTCGGACCCCAGTCATCCCAGTCACATGTCAATTGTATAATGTACAGAGGTCAAAAACAGAAAGTGAAGTTTTTGCTTAAATATTTAAATACAAATACAAACCTTTATACATTCACAAATCCTCATATTCAAGCCGTCACCCTAGTTTTGCTCATATTTGAGATTTAGACACGCTGGACTGCAGGATCTCTGCATGCTAAAAACATGAAATATTTGAGTAAGGTGTTTAGAACCTAAAAAGTAACCACCACACAAATTGCTAAAAACTACACACAGATAGTTAACGTGTATGTTTATATCCTGGTGGCTCAAGTGTGCCCAGTACTGAGCGCTCCTTGGCTCCATGAGGAACATGTTGAGAGGGCCCTTTCTGGTACTGTTTCTGCAAGTCAGATTCAGGTCAGGGACTACTCTCCAGGCGGAAAACTCAACTCTGAAACAAAAGCACCCATGGGTCCCCCATGTGAGACATCTGCAAGACACTTCTGAGTCATGTGAAACACACCAGGTATGGATACAATAAAAATAGGAACTCAAGATACAGGATTGGATTTTAAAAAGTTCTAAAAATGTACTACCTTTTGACCATTGTTTCATCAATCCAAGAACTCCAGGGATTTAATATTAATTTGAACTTCTTATTAAATAAAATTCTGAATTACCAGTTTGTCCTCAGTGTTCTTTAACTGCTGACCACTTCTTCCCACTACCCCTCTCCAGGAAAAAGGAGATACACTTAAGCTACACACTGATGCAACCTTTTCTTGCCACACCAATGGGATTGCATCTGCATGAGTGTTCTGTGGCATCAGAAACATGGCATAAATTTATCTTGCAATGCCTAAACAGGAAAAGTAAGTATGTAAAAGTCGTCTCCACCATTGAGAAATCCACCCCAGGACCAATTAACTATATGAATCCCAATATACACACAACAGGGAAAAAAAAATCTACTTGGGTGCAGAGTTAAAAGTATAAAGGTACATGCTTTAAAAGAAGTCCTGGTAAAAAGGAGGGTTGATTACAACCAGTCTTCTCTACATCTGAGAAAAATGCCAACATGAACCATTATATTTTATTCTATTAATATAGGCTAGTAAGAACATACAAATAGGAAGTCTTGGTGATGTCTAGTCTGTACCCACATGATGCTTGATGATAGTGACCAGACAGCCACTAGGGCAACTAATGCTGACACACACTTCAGAAAAACTTTTGTATTCACCTAGTACCACTTTTAACTCATTTAAATAATTCACAATAGAGGTAAACAGGGAACTCCAAAGAGTATTTGTCTTAAGTCACTGTTCTATTGTAAAAAGATACCATGACCAAGGCAACTCTCATATTTAATGCTTTCTTTTATACTTAAGAGGCTATTATCATGGCAGGGAGCATGGTGTGGGAGCAGTACCTGAGAGCTACACCCTTATCTGGGCCTGGAATGAGCTCACCCTGTTGACAAAATTCCTCCAAAGCCATACCTTCTAAACCTTTCACACTTCCACTACCTGGTGACTAAGCATTCAAATGAGCTTATAGGGACCATTCCTACTGAAAGCACATTATTATAACACAGCGAACATAAAAATTAAGTCAGATGTACTTTCTAAAATCATCAGTAACTTTTAAAGTTCACAGGGCTCATGTGGCTACCTTTCTGCAACTGGGTGTGGTCCTGCTATCCTGGAACACTGAAAAGCAGTGTTGGTCTCTTATGTCTAGAGAAGTGTATAAAAAAAAATTACTGCCTACAATCAGCTTTAAAAACATGGTTAAAAAGTTAACAAAACAAGCCTAGCAATAGATAGGTTTTGGATATTATATGACGAAGTGTGGCTACTTCTATGGCAAATGATGCTTACCTGAAATTAAGTTTAAGCAGAACCATGTATTCTGCCATGGAACGTTTTTAGCATCTTCCCATTTTACCTAAAATACTGTGTCCTAGGGTCAGAGATGTGAGGTAGAGTAACATGTGTCAACTCTAGAAAAAATACAGTTTAAAAAGCAGAGCTGGTGGTGGGGACTTCTCAGCAGCATAGCACTTGCAGAAAATATTCAGGACCCCAAATTCAACACCCAAACTGACAGGAGAAAAAACTTAACAGCTATCCAAGTGACCTGTAAACAAGTGTTCTGAAAAACAAATCCAAAGAATTTCCACAGCATTACTAGTGATAGACAAGGCCTGCTTGGTATCAAGCCTGTATTAAAGAGATCTCCCTGCGCCGTATAAGTTCTTTTAAGGTATTACATAAAGTACACAGATGAGTTACACTAAGAATTTTAGAATACTATTAGGAGACCCCAAATACTTGCTTTACTGACTGCAATCCTGTCAATTGTCTACAAACTCACTCATAGCTCATATTCGTGCTATTTACATGTATGAGGACCCATGTGTGGAGGACAGCAGTCAACAATGGGCGTCTTCCTCCATCATTTTCCATTTATTTGTTCACACAGTATCTCACTGAACCTGGAGCTTGTTGACTCAGCAAGACTAGCTAGCCAGAAAGCCCCAGGGACCTTCTGTCTTTGCTCCCCCAGTGCTGGGACAACAGATGCATGCCACCACCAGGAGGACAAGTACATGCCACACCAGGAGGACAAGTGCATGTCACATCAGGACAGATGCATGCCACACCAGGAGGACAAGTGCATGTCACACCAGGAGGACAGATGCATGCCATCCCAGGAGGACAGATGCATGCCACACCAGGAGGACAGATGCATGCCATCCCAGGAGGACAGATGCATGCCATCCCAGGAGGACAGATGCATGTCACATCAGGAGGACAGATGCATGCCACTCCCAGGCTCCACCATTATCCTGGTAGTGTTATAAAGAATCTGAGAAGCTTATACAAGAGAAGCTACAAGATTAAATGGCATGCTGAATGCTTTAAGGATCTCAAGGTTCTGGGTCATGTATTTCTTATAGAAAAAAAAATGTATCTGAAGTACAAGGGTAGACAGAATTTTGAAGTAAAGGAGTTACATGTAAATTTACTTCCTGGCATTTGAATGACAACACATCTATCAAAATATTATATCTTATATGCACTTCAAAGTTAAGACTGTAAGTTGTTTCAGATGACAAATTCTGATGATAATGAAATAGACAGCTTTTCTGTGTATCTGATAAAAAAAAAAAAAAGCCAGAAGTGTCCAATACTCTTCTAAGTTGAGAACAAGTGGGTCTGCCCTTCTAATATTGAGCCAGGCTATCTCAGGAGGTAGATAGTCAAGGGTTTAAACACTTGACAGTAATTTATTCACCTAGTTATTTACTGTCTTTACAGTCTTAAGGTATACAAATACAAACAGTATAAAAAATACATTTCAAGTAAATGAGGCCTCAAACTTAAAAATGTTAGGATTGAACACATGTATGCACACACGCACGCACGCACGCACGCACGCACGCACGCGCACACACAGACTATCTTAATAAAATTAAGAAGACTGGATTGAATAGATACTTGGGTATTCTGGCTCTAGGGATCCACAGGCATAGGGAAGGCTATGGCAGGTCAGAGAGGGATATCTGGCATGGAAAAAAACCCTGGTAAGGCCAAAAGCTCTCTCCACAAATCCTAATTGTAGCTGCCTTCATCACCCAAACAGATGGTCAGAATTTTCATTCTTTTACAGACAAAAATGTGACCCTATTTGAAAATCAAAGTCTTAGCTTTTAAAATGGAAATTAATGGCAAAGAAAATTTTGCTTTGAACAAATTCCTGTAGTCAATTTTAATGGAAAAGATACAGCTCAGTAAGATTTTAACGTGGCACGTAAAAAACATGGAAACAATTAAAAATAATTTTAAATCTTTTAAAGACATAGTAATACTGAAAGTTAACTCTAAATCAGTATTTTCTTCCCTGAAATCTGACTGAATTTTCTAGCAGTAGACATAGAACAGCAACATTCCAGTTCTAACAAAATTCTTCTGGAGAGATGTTCTGTTTCTAGCCCAACTATAAAATTTAAGGGAATAAACAAAACCAACCAACCAACCAAACAAAAAGCCACAAAGAAACAAAAACCTCAGAGAAGACATTCATTATTTGAAATTTCCTGGATTATTTTAAAGTTTAAAATATTACATTATTAGTCAGTCAACCCCTTAATTGTTCTTAATACTGTGTATTTTAACCAAAAATTTTTATTTTCTACAAAATGCCATTTTTCATACACTTAACTGCTGCGTGCTTTGCTGCTGTCTCTCCACCTGATTGCCTATCCTCTTTCAAGAAGCATTTTTTTTTTTTTTTTAATCTGTAAAAACATTCACTTGAAAAAACAGTAATTTGTGACAGGCCACACCAGAAGCCTCCATTGTCAGTGTAGTCCTGGGTCTGACAGGGATGGAAACCCAGTCTTCTCCCTCAGTCATTCAGCCTCCAGAGACTAACCGATGCTTCTGCTTCTGCCCTCAAGCCTCCCAAGAGGAAAACCGGCTGGCACACAAAGCCGGCAGTTTCCAAGAGCACCGACAGGGCTCCCTCAAGTTACTTTAGCTTCATCATTCTGCCCAGAGCCCCGAGGGCAGCACTTTGTTCCTGGTCCAGTTTTACGGTGGTGCCTATGCTGCTCAGAGCTGACACTATCTTGTACACAACACTGCCTCACCCATCTGTTAGCTATCCTTTTTTTCAACTCCTCACAAGCATACTTTTCTTTCCTTCAATATTTTACAAATTAGCAACCTTTATCTTTGTAAACTGTGCTTTCTTCTCCCTGCAGTGTCCCATGTACAGCTGTGAGTGGTACCTGTTACCTATCATAGCACTTGTATACCTGCCCTTGGGAAACTTCACCTTAACCTCTAAGAACTGACTGTTAACAGGCAGGAAAGTCACCAACTGGAGTTCCAAGGAAAGCAGTCACCTTCACCAGAACCCAGTACTGGACAACATGGTCTTATCAATATGGCTTAACATTAATATGGCTGTAACACAGGGCCAGCCCCTGTTTCCTTTATTAACCACATGAGCTGATTACAGTTTTTTAAAGTCTAGACTAGTTTTCCATATGTTTTACACATTTTATTCTGACATCTTTTAAAAACAAAAGGACGCACACGTTTGCATTTATCAATGCCCTTTTCTTTAAATATGGTCTCACTTCCATCCTCTAGGCTCTGCTCTCCATGCTGTCCGTTTGCTGGGAGAGCATCAGAAATGCCATCTTCTCCTGGCACTCTGGCTGGGCCTCCAGTCAGCTGCATAATTTCTTCTAGGACATTTGTAACAGACACAACATATACAGGACGACTTCAGTTTGTTTTTTTCCTTGGCTGGTTTTTTTTCCTTTTTTTAAATAAGCATGTTTCCTGGTTCTCATATTTTCTTTTCTTTGAATATATTGCACAACATTTTATTATTAGAAAAGGTTTTACGTTTCAGGCAAAAAGTTTTTTTTTTTTCCACCCAGGAGGTGCTAATGTGTATTATTTTCTAAAAGAGGTAAGTGGTTGTCTGTGTGGCCATCTTCAAAGGGGACCTAAGGGGAGGAGAAGAGAAGACCAGAGTGTTAGTTCTACTCTATATGACGTCTCTATCACCAGGCTTTATGGGGACAATCCTTTCTATTTAGACTTAAGGACAACAACATGACTAAGAGAAAAGCACGTGCAGTATCACTTACAGAATGGACAGGCTTGTAGGATCCAAGTCTGAAACGACAGCAAATTATTTCCACTATAAATTTTCCAATTCCATGTAACATGCCTGTAATGAGTATAATAAGTTCACATTTTTAATTAAACAGCTTTTAAAATTGCTATGTAAGAATAAAATACTGAGGATAACTGTAGAGAAGTAGGTCATGGAATGCAGCACAGCGGCCTGCAGCTGCCTCTGAGGCTCACACTCCCCGAGAGGGCTGGTTTTAAAAACAGGTGTTTTATCAAAATCAAGTCACATACATAACTCACAACCCCGACACAACCTTTTCAAGACTTTTTCATGTAACTCTGCAAATAACAGATTTAAATGAACTAAAATAAAGCATAAATGGACCTGCATAAGAAAAGTTGTTCACTTGTTCTAGAAATAGGAATCAAAACAACACAGGGTTCTAAGAACATAATTTGCTAGCTCAGACCAACCAAGGGTTGAAGATGGATCTCTAAAAAGATTCCAGAACCTTGGGCTAAGCCCAAAAGCACTACCGATTTAATCAAAATGCCACAAAATACAACTTCATACAGTATATAGGGAAAGAAATTTATTTACATCTGTGATGCTTTCTGGGCATTTGCTCATTTAACCCCATAGCATACTTACAAACCAGTTACTTCTCAGAAAAGGTAGGGCCGGGCGGTGGTGGCGCATGCCTTTAATCCCAGCACTTGGGAAGCAGAGGCAGGAGGATCTCTGTGAGTCTGAGGCCAGCCTGATCTACAGAGCGAGTTCCAGGAAAGGCTCCAAAGCTACACAGAGAAGCCCTGCCTCGAAAACAAAACAAAACAAAAAAACCCAAAAATCAAAAAAAGAAAAGGTAGGTGAACCATCTAAGGACTACCAAGTCAATGGCAGAACACAGATTCATACTAGCTGTGTCTGTGAATAACACCCAGGACACGTGTGGCTTACCACATTATCTTCCTGTATTACTGAATCCCGAGAAATAGGTGTGCTTACAGGATAAGAAATATAGCTTTAGAATTTAAAGTCTCCAAATATTAAAACATGAAAATGTGTATATTTTTTGCTGTCTTTTAATAGAGGCATTACTTTTTTTTTTTTGTGTGTGTGTGTGTGTGTGTGTGTGTGTGTGTGTGTGTGTGTGTTGGGCCTTGCAAAAGTGAGGGCCTTCAAACGCTATGGCATACTCTATCAGGGAAATATCTTCCTAACATCTTAAGTTTAATAAACACTTTTAGAAATCAGATAAAGAAAGCAGGGCATGGCCACTGGTGCCTACAATCCCAGTGAGAGACACAGCTTACTTGGTTATCTCAAAACAAAACAAAACAAAAAAGTGAAATTAGACAAAGAAATGAATGTTAACCTGTTGTTGAAAAGATTCCTCCAATAATACCACAGAGTCTTACAAAAAACTGCCAGAAAGGCATGTGTTCCTCAGTGACTGTCACCATGAGAGAACTGAGATCATATTTCATAAATATTCCGGAGACTCCGTGGCTGCCTGCAGCATGGTTAATGATGCGTTCCTGAGAGAAAGGGGAGAGGAGGAAAGAGAAACAGAACGCATGTCATGTGGGTCCTAACACACATGCTTTATCAAGGTACAAATGTACATGTAACACCCTACTTTCCTCAGGGTGAACAACCCTAGAATTTGAGCTCTTCAGAGACAACTACCAGTGTTCTTGGTAGGGTATGCTTTTCAAAGAATAACCTTGATCCTGGTGTGGTGTTACACATCTGTAATCCCACACTAGGAAGCAAAAGCTGGAGGGCCATGCATTCAAGAACAAAGAACTGTTCCGAAAAGAAAACTGAACCCAGAACTGAACTATTCTTAACTATGTTTGGAAATGGTCATCTTAAACATACCAGTTTATTCATGCATTTACAACTAACCAAGCAATAAAAACCAAGTTTATATTACATCATGCTCTTGTATTGTTTCTTTGCAATTACTTCTTGTCATTTTATTTCTACTAAGTTGAAATTAAACTATAAGCATTAGAAACACATACACTGTGGTCAAAATCCCCTCCCTTATTACTAACACAGAGACCTTATAAATGAGCCACCAATCAAGTTTCCAACAGTGAATTCATGCAAAAATTCTGATGTTCAGTATCATGTCGAAGGCATGGAGATCCTGTGACCACCTACAATAAAGCAAGCTATCTTGTGGATCAGGACATCCAACAATAATGGAGAAGACTAGGAATGATTAAACTGGGCTTTCAAAACTGACAGTGGCCAGCTCCTCTCCCTCCCTGCATTGTAAAACTCAATCCAATGATTAATACTTTAGTCACATACAGCAAACACCCCTTACACAACAGACTTTTTTCTTTTTGATTTCATTTCAAATATATCCTGGAGATAATTTCACATTCAAATACTATCCTTCTTTTTTATAGTTGCATATCCTGCTGGGTAGATTTATAATTGGAGCTGTTTCTAGTCTTCTTCCACTGCAACACCACAATGAACAACCTCATACACGCAGCATTTTTCTTCTTTTCCCCCCACTGTATCTTGGAAAGGGGTTTCTAACACAAGGATAGCTTAACAGAAGCAATGCACACACCAGTTTGAAAATGTAGCCAGATTCTCTATAGCCCATAGCAATTCTACAATCCTATGCACCTGCTTGCTTTGCCCCAAAGCATTGCCAAACCTATACAATGCTTCTTCCCAGGCGTCTGTCAATACTGCTGGTGAGAAACATCTTCCTACCCTTGTAGAAATGTTGGAAAGTACAACACTACTTACCTAGTTACTGTGCATGTGTGTACATACACATATACATGCATATAAATACATACCTGTGTTTGTTCCCTGAACCATTTGAAAAGTTAGACACTTAACACTTGCCCTCTGAAATAACATAATTAAGACAACTAAGGGGAAGCTTTTTCCCACTGAGGACGTAGTTATGATCAACTGCAGCATTATCACATGAAGAAGAATGGAAAGGAAAGCTCTCACATGCCCTGGAATTTATTTGGACACCAGCTTTTGAGTATTACCAATTTCAAATTTGATTTATAATAATGAAATAGAACCTAAAACAGACACTATTCAAACCTGCTCTTCTCTCCATGAAACCATTAAGACCCATCGACTTGAGGCTGGAGAGCACACTTCTAGTCAGACCCAGCATTGAGGGACTAGCTAAGAGCAGAGTTTGTACACATTCAGCGAGGAACGCTTACAAAAAACAACCAAGAAACCAGAAAACCTGACGATAGAGGCAGATTAGGAGCTGGTTACATCAATAAAGAATATACAAATAGAAATTCATAAAGTAACATCTGCCATCATAGTTTAATTTGTAATAGAGACAGGCTAATATTTTTTTTAATCTTTTTAAACTTTAGAACATGCACACTAATACCCACTTCTGGTACATTTTTGCTTGAAATGTTAATTCATTTCAAAACTTCTATAAATTTTTAAATTGGGGGGGGATGCCTACTAAATTTCCAATTTTATCTTACAATTGGAGAACAATAAAAAAAATCCCTCCCTCAATCATCTTAGCAATTAGGACTCACTTACCCTTTCTGTCACAGAAAACTGATGGGTGTCAGCTGAAATCTTGTATGTGTGGAGCTTTGTTGGCACAACTGTAATGAAATATTGGAACATCTGGTTGTCTATAATAAAAACAAAATATGTCTCCTCATCAATCTGGTAGCAACAGAATACTATCAAATCTACTCTTCTTTTAAATATGACAAACTTGAAATTTAATATTACCATTTGCTTTAGTATGTAGTAGATAAATAGTTTTAAAAGAAAGAAAAGCTGATGAAAACAATATACTTAGGAAACAAAGTCCCACTTCGGACACAAGAAGTAGGGGGGTGCCCATGCTTGATGTAATAAATAATTTTAAGAACTGGCCATCTCCTGTGGCCAGGCAAGACTATCAGTGGAGGGATTGGGACACCAACACAGCCACATAACCTTCAACCTACAGTCTTTTTTGTCTTTGGAATATGCTGGGGTAAGGGTGGCACAGAGATTGGGATTAGCCAATCAATGACTGGTTGAGCCTGAGATCCATGCCATGAGAGTGAGCCCATCTGACATTGCCTGAAGTGCCAGGACCCAGCGGCTAGATGGCCCAGAGAACCAGGATAGAACCAAATCATACTGGGGAGGGAAAAAAAGTCAATACAATGATGCCTAATGATATTCTACTATACTCATAGATTGGTGCCTAGCCCAACAGTCATCAGAGAGGTTTCATCCAGCAATAGGTAGAAACAGATGCAGAGACACTGTCAAACATTAGGCCGAGCTTGGGGAATCCTCCTGAAGAGAGAGAGGAAGGATTGTAAGACCCAGAGGAGTCAGACACCACAAGAAAACCCACAGATCAACTAACCTGGGCTCAGAGACTAAACTGACAACCAAGGAGCTTGCATGGGACTGATATAGATCCTCTGCATGTATGTGACAGTTGTGTAGCTTGGTCTTCTTGTGGGACTCCTAACAGTGGGAGCAAGGGCTGTCTTTGACTCTTTTGCTGGTTTTGGGGATCCTATTCCTCATACTGAGTCGCCTTGCCCAGCCTTAATACAAGGCGAGGTGCTTAGTCTTGATTTGCTACGTTTTGGTGATATCCATGGGAGGCCTGCCCCTTTCTGAACAGAAACAGAGGAGGAGTAGATGGGGGAGGAGGCAGAGTGGAGGTGAGGACTGGGAGGAGAGGAAGGAGAGCAAACTACAGTCAGGATGTAAAATAAATAAATAAATGTTTTTAAAAAGTGAAGATAATATACTCATATTTGGTAAAACAAGTTAAGACACATGAAGTGTGCAGGTGCTCATATGCATTAGTTCAGGCACTGACAACCACGAACAGGACGTAAGAAGGCAAAGGCAGCATCTCTTCAGAGTAGAAACATTGCTGAAACCTAGATGTTATTGCAACAGTAACCGTAGTTCTCCTGTCTGCTAATCTTAAATATACTAGTAAACTGAAGTCGAATTTGCCAGACACCGAAAGTGACATTAGAGGAAAAAGGTAACTAGACAAACTGTTCAGTGATTGCTGTTCAATCAAAGGGTCAGTTTATGGTCACCGGGCATCACCAGGGTTAATGTAAGTTACAAAAAAAATCAATGTCCAAAACCAGACTCACATGGTAACACAAGCCTGTAATCCCAGGATTGCTGTGAGTTCAAGGTCATCTTGGGCTACACTGCTACTTCCAGGCCAGCCTCATCTGAACAGTAAAACACTATCTCAAAATAACAACAAAGTCACCTGAAAACAGGCTATGCACCACTTGCTATAAAACTAAGAAAATAATCCTCAGTGCTTGAGTAAGTAGAGGCTTAGAAACAAATGTACATGACTGCTGTGACACCACACACCTGATTATACACACAACACCACTCCACTCTGGAGTAACTCTAGGTTTCTTGAGTTGGTGACATTCTGCAGGGAGCTTCCTACAAAAGCAAACAGCCTTCTAGAGCCTTGAACCTGTGACAAGAGAACTTCTTTCTCTGGTGACTGTGGAAAGGACAGTTACACCATTACCACCAACACATCAACCCTCTTGTCCTTCTAATCTTTTCAATCTGTTGTAGGACTTACTTTTTAACATTCTAATCCCATTCACTTCTACCACATACTCAGCAGCCATGTAAAGATTAGCTTCACAAGAGTGATAGGAGTAAAACCACATCAATATTAAGGTTTAAGAGCAATTTCCTGTATGTAAATTCTAAAAGCAATTATTAAATACTCACGGTCTACAGCAATCTTTTCAGTTCCATCCAAAGGATTAATAATTCCCGGAACAAGCTCTCCAAAAGACAAATGATCTATTCTGTGAGAAAAGTTGTAAGCTAAGATAAAAAGATAAAGGTGGAGAAATTATATTACTCTTTAGATTATCATGCTACAGGTGGTTTTATACTCTCACAGTTACCTAAAACTTCAAGTTTAATAATACTTAAAACAGCATGTTAAGAAAAATACACACAAAAAAGCAAATCCTGATAAAATGCTGCCTCAAATCTTATGGTTATATATAAATTAATTTCTATTAAATGCCTTGTTTAATCCTGATGTCCAAAACATAAACTTTCTTGATTCTAAACACCGTATATAAACAAGACCATGCCAATAAAACACATAGGATGATGTTAGTTAAATAATGAAAATGATCACAGATATTTTTCATATATACCATTACTATGACCAACTGATTTTTATAGAATTTATTTTGCTCTAAAAGCAAAGTTTAAGAAAAAGTCCTGCTTGGTACAGAGGTACAAACCTGTAATCCTAGCACTTGGAAGGTAGATGCAAGAGGATCAGCTGTTCTAGGTCACCCAAGGCTATCTGCAATCTTATATTAACCAGGCCACATGAAAACATGTTTGATTCATTCTACTCTCCAGAAACACTTAAGTTTTACGATAATCATTGTACTGAAGTAATTGTGTGTGTGTGTGTGTGTGTGTGTGTGTGTGTGTGTACACAACTGTATCTGGATCTACAAACTGAGGTCAACTTCAGATATTGTCTCTTTGTTATTGGACGTGTACTGAATGACACAAAGCACTCCTGTGTTCCCCCCTAACTGCAGGGATTTCTGGGCAGTGAACAAAGAGGTAAATGTATAGATAGAATAAATTTGAAGCAATACATTCAATTTTTTTCTCCAGATGGATACCAAGTTTTTGTTTCTTTTTGGATATCAATTTTTAAACAGCTTACTTTATTTGTTTGGCTTTTGCTTTCTGTGACAGGGTCCTTCCATTCACTGACATGACACTCACTATGTAGCACAGACTAACTTCAAATTCATGCTAATCCCCCTGCTTAAGCCTCCCAAGTGCTGGGGTAACAGGTGCCGACACACTTAGCTAACATTTTTATTTACTTACTTTTGAGACTGAATCTCACTATGTAGTCCTGGTTGGCACAGAACTCACAGACATCCACCTGCCTCTGTCTCAGGGTTGCTGGGATTAAAGGCAGAAGGTGTGTGCCAACACAAGAGTCAAGTTTACCTTTAAAGCTCTACCTTGTGTTTGCACTAAAACAAATGAAACACACACACACACACACACACACACACAATTAACTTCTCTTGAAAACTTTTCTACACTGAAATAAAATCTCAGAAATTGCTCACAATCATGGTTGACAAGTGCTGCCAAATGTGCATGCCCTCGAGGATGTGGGATTGCCCTGCAAGGAGGAAAAACAAACACATAACTAACAAGAAAGCCAACCTTCACTGTCATTCAGCAGCTTGTATCGAAAACTGAGAGTAGTGCAGCTGGCCCATAGCTAAGCCATCTCAGCAAGGCGATAAGCTGAGAGCTGCAAAAAGCCAAATAGAAACCATGTTAAGTATTTACGAGCCCAGACGATAGAAACCAAGGGTATTACATCATGAGAACACCATTTCATAAACAATTATCAATGAAACACAAAACCCTAATAATTGAGTTCATTCTGTAGCTCATGTGTGCTTTGCAGGGAAACTTCTTTACTCACTGAGGTTTAAAGCTGGTGTTCCTAATTTCAAAAATGATCTCAAATGTGTGTGGTAATGACCTAAAACATTTCACATTTCCTCTCTGAAAACACAAATCCATAAGCATGCTTCAACTGAGCCTATTCATTCCCTTGAAGACATTTCTAGAATACTAGTAAGAGCCTTCTCTTTATATTTTGGTTTTTTGTTTTTTGGTTTTTTGTTTGTTTGTTTGTTTGTTTTTTTGTTTTTTGAGACAGGGTTTCTCTGTGTAGCTTTGTGCCTGTCCTGGATCTCATTTTGTAGACCAGGCTGGCCTCGAACTCATAGAGATCCGTTTGTCTCTGCCTCCCAAGTGCTGGGATTAAAGGCATGCGCCACCACCGCCCGGCTTCTCTTTATATTTTGTATATCACAGATCAGTCATTTCCAACTTAAGGCAGAATTTCCTAAACTGCCCAAAAGGTTTTTAAAACTTCCTTTGTACTTGCTCTGGTGTCTGACAACTGGAACCACAGTCTGAGCTGAGACATGCTAGATATGAGACTGGAGGCCTTGATTCCCACAGCAACTTCAGTCTGCTGAAGCTCCAAAGGCTGTTGGAGCCACTAAGAACCACACCACGTTCCTGCAGCAACTCTGCCACACCGCCAGTTTATATGTAAATACTGTTCTCCCTGATAATTTTAGGTTAAATTTATTACGAAACATTCTATCAAGTGTTTACAACATTTAATATCTAAGCACTGAGCAAAAACAAAAAATGTAATAAAACTTTGCAACTACTCAAGCATCCAGCTGCTGTGCAGAGGCCAAACTGGAATGCTGAGCTTTTATTTTTAACAGAAGTCACAGAAATGAACAATATTAAGTTCACAAGAGCAAATGAAATGACTGCTAGTTAACAACACATTTTAGCAGATGCCACTTGAGGCTGTGGAACTGGAGGTCTCACTTGTTAAAACCGCTTTCTCTCAGCTATTTAACACAGACTATTTACAGACACTAATTACGGCATTATTTTCAACGAAGCACTGATTTGTCAAATCTACTAAACAACATGCAGCACCTATGCCACACAGGATCACAGAAGGTCACCTCTCTTGCTTTTTTAAAATAGATATGTTTGATTTTTAATCATATATGTTTATGTGTCTGTACGTGGGTATATGCATGTGAGTGCAGTACCCTTGGAGACCAGAAGAGGGTATCAGATCCCCTGGAGCTGAAGCTACAGGTGGAGTGTGAGCTGCCCAATGTGAGTGCAGGAAAAGAAACACATCTCTCTGAGGGGGCAGTAGGTGGCACTCTGTACCACCTAGCCATGTCTCCAGCCTATCTTGCTTCTTGACTGACTACTGGGCACTAGGCTCACTGTCCTCAGTTGCTGAAGCACCTTCTCACTGAAGCAGATGGTCCACGGCCAACCTGCCTATAAGGAAAGTATGTCTTCAGCTGCTGCCATTAAACACACTCCACTAACCTACAAGTACAGGATCTTTCTTGACTCACCAGTAACACATGCAGACACTTGACTGTAACTTCATTTTCACTTAGAAATTCTACTGGACATTTCACTTTAAACTTTCTAATTTCCTGACCGCTGCTGCTTTTCTATGAAGTTGGGACTATTGTGATGAGGGCTTGGTCAGCCTAATAGCAGCAGGATACACTGTGTTCTTTTAAGTGCAGCCATACTGTCACTATAGTTATCACAATATTCTGTACCCAACTTAGATGACGATTTAAAAGTATGACAACTATGCTGAGCGGTGGTGGTGCACTTGGGAGGCAGAGGCAGGCAGATCTCTGTGAGTTTGAGGCCAGCCTGGTTTACAGAGCGAGATCCAGGACCCGCACCAAAACTACACAAAGAAACCCTGTCTCAAAAAATTAATTAAAAAGTATGACAACTGGAGCCTGGTTTTTACTTGGTAATATAATAACTAAGTGCAACAGTGTATGACACTGGCACCTGACCTGTGGTGCACCAAGCAACACCACTGAGCACTGAGACCTCTACACAGTCAGGTCAACTGCTCCACCCTCAGTATGACACTGTAACGTAAAAGCGGTCCTGCAGAAACAATAAGCATGACTACCTTTCAATAAATTTCATCTCTTGGGCAGTAGGGGGGATGAGACAGAATCTCACAATGTAACTCTGGCTGGCCTGGAACTCACTATGTAGACCACACTGGCCTCAAACACAGAGATCCACCTGCCCCTGCCTCCTGAGCATGGGAATTAAAAGTGTGTGCCACCATGCCCAGCTAAAACTTTTCTTTTTGAATGCAAATCTGAACTTCTCTCATTAATGAAAAAGGTAGCAGGCTGCATCTGGAATCCATGCTGTCATCTACTTACTTGTGATAAGCCTTTGTTTTCTCTCAATTTTAGCCTGTTCTTTATTCTTTTGGTACTATTAAGAATAACAACTGTCCTTTCCTGCTCTTGTTTAAAAATAAAAAGTTGAAACATCACTGTGAGGATTTCCACACGCTATTCCTTATTTGTGCTTTATGCAGTAATTAATTTTAGCAACTAAGACACACACATGAAAATTTCCATAATGCGCACATCTTTCCTGATTTGTAATAATGTCATTATCAAGTTCTAGTGTGCCCCAACATGTCTTAACTAGTGTCTACCTTGTTCTGCAGAACAGGCACTTTGAAAAGAGGCAATGTAATGGAAATACATTACCATTCAATACAGAGAACTTCCCTATTATGAGAGGGACTACTAGCTCCCCCTGGCAGTTGCCTGGGCTTGGTTGAGTGCATTGAACAGACACAGTTCTGACCCACTGATGCCATCGCGTTGTGTTCCTACTGTAGGCTTCAAATTTAGGGTCAGGGATTTTCTAAAGAATCAAGTTACAAACTATAACATTATAATTGACGACAATAGTCTCTCACAACCTAAGGTCTGTGAGGAACTCAGAACTGTTTTAGATTATGTCTTCCCCTTTTTTTTAGAAAACATAAATTGAAATTTTATGGATCAGCAGCATAAGCAAGCACCTCCCTTCAAAACCACAAATGTTAAAAATGAAATTCAGTTACCCCAATGCTGATGACACTTACTAAAAATGCTTCCATTTTCCTGCCTGTTTTCTTTCCTTTTTTTTTTTTGAAGATTTATTTATTTATTTATTATTTATACAGTGTTCTGTCTGCACATATCCCTGCAGGCCAGAAGAGGGCACCAGATCTCATTACAGATGGTTGTGAGCCACCATGTGGTTGCTGGGAATTGAACTCAGGACCTTTGGAAGAACAAGCAGTGCTCTTAACCTCTGAGCCATCTCTCCAGCCCCTCCTGCCTGTTTTCTGACATATTACCTAACCCATCGGATGGGACCCAGCAGTGGAAGGAGAACAGTTCTGAACCTCAGTCAGGTTGAAGAAAGGCTTTTGGGGTTGTGGCACTTAACTGGTTTATGAGGTTAGGAATGCTACTGGCATCCATGAACCACAGACAGGAAACAAAACATCCTGCAGAGAATCATATCTCACACAGAGAACTCTCAGGTGCCTTCTGAAACAATGCACACATGAGAAACTATTGACCTGAGCCTCAACTCTGTTCCACTACACAGAGGATCCATGGTTGCTTGAACATATGCTAGGAGCTCAGGGAAGATTCACTATCCTGTGTTGTTCAGTGTTCAAATGCCATCCCATCAAAAAATATGGCACTCATCACCTGAGTAGCCTGCACGTTTTACCTGGTCACAACTCTATGCCTAAATGCCAAGTATATGCATCTCCCTTATGCATTCTGGTGTGCACATGTCCAAGCCTTGCATACTGAAATCCAAACACCATACTCAGGCCCTTTGAACAGCTAGGACTGTCACTGCACTCAACAGGTAATAGGATCAATACTGAGCTTGACAAACCTAACACCAAAAAATAAAAGGTGAGTTGACTTGAGTTTATGAGACACAAACAACAAAAGCTTTTCCTTTGGGGTCTGTTACATATTAAGTTATCATCTGCTGAAAGGTATGAAATTGGGGGGGGGGCAGCCAAAAATAAAATATAGGACATAATACAGATGTTCATACTGTGCTTCCTTTTGAACTAGGGCACTGTTTACATGTAAAGCTATAATGAGCACTCTCCATCATGTGCTGCCTCATGGTGCCAAGGTTTCAAAGTCCCCAGGACCATGCTGCAGATGGGTAAATGAGCACTAAGCAACAAAGTTTGAATCTGCAGGAGAAAAGCACAACAAAGAAAAAATAAAGTTTGATCCCATCATTATAATCAATGATGTCTTTCCTGATAAAAATCTAATGTCCTCTCTATATAAACAGAAAAGCCCAAAGCCACCCTTTGATCAGGTTCTTTTCTGACATGCTCTCCTTTATTTTATATATAAATTCCTAACTCCCCATACAATTCCAAAGTTTCCTCATGAAGCCTCTGCTGACTTGCAGACTATGTTACATAATTTTTCTTATTAGCTATAATCTCCTTTAAAGCCTCAATACTACTATAATTATTACCTAATGTATTTACTGGTCAAAGTTTAAATATTCCAGTAGGACTTCAGCACCCAGGGAGAGTAAAGACTTCCCTATTTTTCCACTGTTTGATCCTGAGTCTCCAGACTAGTCTTCTGCACACAGCAAGTATCCAAACAATGGCTTAGACAGTGAAGAACTCATCAGCTCTCCATGGAAGGAGGAAGCTGGGGAGGGGACGATCATCCATGGTAAAATCTACCAAGACCTTTTTGTGACACTCAATTATATTCAGAGGAGTAAATGACACTTTTCCTAAGCTGCTACCTAAATTACTTCATTCTAGATATCAGTAACTTTTGACTTTTTCTAGAATTACTTAAGGACTACATTTTGATGAGAATTACCAAAGGGCTAAACAAAACAAAAACCTACTCTCAATAAATAAATACACTGATGGAACATCTAGGGTTGGGCTCTCTGACTACAGAAGTTACCATGAGAGGTTTTAATTCCTATTTACTCGCAGACAACATTTTAAGTGCCCTTTGTGGTTGCCTGTGCACTACCTGATCTGGAAAAGATGCAATTTTAATCAAGCTCCAACCCCATGTAAAGAACTTCAGAAAGTGAAAAGAACATACTTGCCCACAGTTATGTGAAAATTCCCTGCTACTTTATTGACATATAGATGACCGTGGATTCTGCACGCATCTGGAGTCAGTGATGCATCATCTTCCCTGTAAAGCAAGACACATTCAGGTGTCTAATGCACATCTGATACAAAAACCATGTACCGGTGTGAAAATGGCACACAGGGAAAAGAAGACTCCTTAAAGACAAACTTTTAGCTAATGTCCAGATTAAAGCAGTAGTTTAAATCCACTTGAGTTGCTATACCGCTACTATATTTACATAAACACACATCATTATGTATCTTCAAGTCTACCCAAAGGATTAAGTTCAATGCAGGAGAACTCTGAAAATCAAAGAAGAGTCCAACAGCAACATTCTTTTCTCATGTATTTCTGGCACTGTGGTGCAGCTGGATGGGAATGAAACTGAGGTCAGGAAAAGGCACCCAAGTGCAAACTGGGATTTTCTTCCTAAGCCAATATAAGCCTTCACATATTTTAAACTTGAAAAATCATCTTCATGATTACAACAACTATTGTTACCTACTCTGACACAGGAGTAAAAATTCTTAACCAAAATATATACAGTCTTATAATTTTTTCTTAAAACTAGTAGAATTTTATACAGAGATATACCACACATACAAAAGTAAAGTAACTTGATGAAAAGCTCAAAATCATAGGCTAGAATTTAAGGGCAAGATAACCTTAAATGTATAAAACACTTTCAAAGAAAGAACAGCAGACCAATACTAAAACTACATCCAAGTAAACTCCTGGTAAACAACTTAACTTTGAAGCACCTCTCTCACCTTGGTGGCAGTGCTGTTGATGCACTTTTGAAAGCACTTTTGAATATCACGTCTTGAAGGGAATGCTCTTCTTGCAGCCTACTCTGAATCAGCTGCAGCATCCTAAATGTGACAGAACAGTAAAATACACACCAAGCCAAGGCTTGTTCAACTACAACAAGGCTTCTGACTGAGAATATCCATGTTTACTATAGGATTACATTCCAGAACAAAGTTTATCCGCTTTTCTCAGGAAAAGTGAGGACGGCACCGGTAGTCAGAGGCACCAAAAGGCGACTTTTGCTCCGTTCAGTGTCTAAGCTTACCTTTCACATATATTACAAAGTTCTGACTTCTGGCCAGCGCTGCAGTAAATGATGCAGATATGAAGAACAAACTAAGTGCAGGCCATTCCGCAGGGTATTGGATTAGAGGCCGAAGATTATTGAGATACAATCCCAAGGCTTATTATAAACTAGGTCATGGCACCTTTTAATATCACCTGGTGTCTTCTTTTCCAAAAGAAGTAAACTTTATTCTACAGGACCATTCTAAGCAAATATAATTAGTCTTCACATAAGTTTTAAAAAAGAGTCAACAGGATTGTAGAAAGTAAAGACTGCATTTAAGAAATAATGCTTAAGGAGATGGAAAGATTGCTCAGTGGTTAAGAACACTGGCTGTTCTTCCAGAGGACCTGGATTCAATTCCCAGCACCCACATGATGGCAAACCACCATTTGTAACTCCAGTTTCAGGGCATCCAATGCCATCTTCTTGCCTCTCCAAGGACCAGACACACAGGGGTACACAGACATACGTGCAGACAAAACACCCATACACACAGAGCTGGAGAAACGGCTGCAATGGTTAAGAGCACTTATTATTTCAGCAGAGGTCCTAGGTTTGATTCCTAGCATCCACATGGTGTTCACAAATGTCCGTAACTCCAGTTCCAGGATGTACATGGTACACAGACATGGATTAAAACAGACACATATGAAATGAATAAATCTAAAAATTAAAAAATTTTAAATATTCAAATATACACACAGTAAAATAAATAAATCTTTAAAAAAATAGAAACAATGCTTAGATTCATCTCCTTTAATATGACCTTAAATAAGTAGCATCTCAAGTCATAAACTAGCAAGCACGAAGACTACTCACAGTGGACAGAAACAATGACTAAGAGAACATTTAGGACAGTGAAACTGCTCTGATGATACAATGGTGGATGTGTGACATTACACAACTGTCCTCTCAAAAGAGTGACTTCCCAAGTGAACTATAGACCTTGGGAAATGTTGGGGCCATGCAGTCTCATCAATTATGACAAGCCATTCTGGTGCTTGATGCTGATAAAGGAAAATGAGATATGGGAACTCTGTACTTTGCACTCACCTTTGCTGTGAACTTAAAACTACTCTAAAAAATATTGAACTTGAAAGTAGAAAAAAAAACTTAGATGTAAACATATGATCTTAAAAAACATAAATACTGCAGGTGGAGAGATGGCCTAGCGGTTAAGAGCCCTGACTGCTCTTCCAAAGGACTCGGGTTCAATCCCCAGCACCCAGGCAGCTCACAACTGTCTGTAACTCCAGTTCCAGGGGATCCTCACACAGACATACGCACAGGCAAAACACCAATGCACATAAAAAAAAATAAGAATACATCAATTACTTAAAAAAAAAAAGAAAAAAAAACAAAATATTTATCTCACAATATACCATATTTCATCACAATGGTAAAAGTATTGTATAGACATAGAAATGAGAAAATATTTATGCACTATCCATCTAGAATACAGGGTTAACGGGCCTGTTTTGTTAACACTACAAAATCAAATTTACACAGTAAGCTTAGTTTGAAATAAACCTTAAATCTAGAAAGAAAAAGCAAACACCACAAAAGGCTGTGTCCAGGGTTTGAAATTTTCTTCTAGAAATACTGCAATCCTAATTATTTAAGGCAAAACACCAACTGAGAGAGCCAATTCCAAAGGTAAAGAACATTTTTGTGTGTACCCTGTGAGGAAGTGACAAGGCCTTGCAGATCTCCCTCCATACTAGAATGCCCATTTAGAAGCAGAACATGATTAAGAAAGATCTAGAAAATAGATCTCATCTTCAGATTTATACATCTAAAGACATAAACTTTGGAGCTAAGAGTTTGAGGAAACTGTGAGACTTCTGCTTGGGACATACCAACCAATAGCCAAGTGTGAACTCTGTATGAAGGTATGCAGAGAGCCCAAGCATGATGGGAAAGCCCTCTCACTTAATGAAACAGTCTGTTTGCAGTCATTACTCCTCTTCAACACTCAGTAGAATCTTAGATAAAAGGAGCCATCTTGGGTCAGAAGAGAGGACTCAAGGGTTAAAAGTACTTTCTGCTCTTCCAGTATTCAGTTCCCAGCATCCATAGCAGACAGCTCACAACATGGCATACACACAGAGGCACACATATAAATAAAAATCTTAAAATTTTTAAGAGGAGACAACTCATGTTAGTATTTCTGGGTGGGTTGTTTGGTTGTTTGTCTGTTTGAGCTTTTTGAGATAGGGCTTCACTATGTAGACCCTGCTCTGAATATTGATCCTCTTGCCCTAGCCTTTTTTGTTTGTTTTGTTTTGTTTTGTTTGTTTTTGAGACAGGGTTTCTCTGTGTAGCTTTGAGCCTTTCCTGGAACTCACTCTGTAGCCCAGGCTGGCCTCGAACTCACAGAGATCTGCCTACCTCTGCCTCCCTGAGTGCTGGGATTAAAGGTGTGCACCCCACCACCTGGCTTGCCCTAGCCTCTTAATTACTGGGATTTACAAGTATGCACACACACCTGACTCTCACTTCAATATTTCTGGATAAAAGTAACACATTTCATTTCTAGGTAGAGCTTTCTAGTAAAAGTGCTAGAAATCCAGAAAGCCCGAATATTCACTGCTTTCTTCAACTATATTCAATTTCAATATTAAGATTTTTCCCAGCTAGGAAAATTGGTGATTAAAAGAAAAAGATTCTTCAAGTGTAGTAGGGATTAGAAAACAAAATGTCTATAAAAAGTAAACAAACATTTAAGTACATTTTGGTAATAATCGGAAATTAGGTAACCTTAAATATAAGCCATCTTGGGAACAAAAAGTGGATGGGGAAGTACTTTTTCTGAGAACAAACATCAGAAACAACCGCACCTGTACTCCAGACAACACGGAGACAGCATACTGACAAATGAAAAACTCAGACACAGAGTTCCCAGGGAGTCACATGTGGTTCTCATCACTCATGGTTTTGCAGTTGCCAGAATGAGAAAGCTTTTCCTTTATGCTGTTTATAAAATGAACCTTTTGTCTGTTTCTGAGACAGTTTATATATTTAACCCATGTCCTGAAACTTACTGTTTAGCTCAGGAAAGAGGTAAACTTAGGATGCTCCTGTTTCAGCATCCCAAATGCTGGGATTACAGGTATGTATCATCATACCTGGCTCCAAACCAAATTCTAAACAATGTTCACATACTTTCATAGTTAAAATTTTTTAAAGTTAATTAAAATTTTAAATAAAAGCTAAAATGTATTTATGATTCAAAATATAATACAGGAAAGATTATGTATAACTTTCCTAAGATCTGATAGTTTTTGAGGTCATAAGGACTGTTTATATACTAAAATATTTTAACATATGCATAGCTTCCACCAAAAGCGGTCTAGGTTTCTACAGTGATGACACTGTTCATACTTTACCTCTGCCATTCTCTCTGCTGGGGTGAAAGGTCAAATACTGCCTGCAAAAGAAGAGAACACAGTCACTGGCAAATAAATCCCTTGGTGTTCACATAGCACCAGTTTAAATGTTTTTCTATGAACAAGAAACAAACTTATAGTACTGCTAAGATATATTTATGATTTAATCTGTAATGTTTTATTCAAAGATAGCATAAAAAAGCTTTACTAATGATAACTATTTTCCTGTGTACAGTCACTAACATTTATAGGAACAAATGCAAGCTGACAATCAATCAGAAGCACAAAATGGGTATTTTAGGACTTAAAATCACTCAAGCTCACCGTTACTGAAACTGAAAACTAATTAAAACTAAAAGGGCAACACTGGTGATGGGGTTAGGGAGACAGGTAATGGATGGGACACAGCCTAAGTGGGAACTCAAGCACCCATAGCCCTTCCTCCTGACAGGAAATAGTCACAAAACAAAGCCACACACCTTTGCTGAAAAAGAAACCTCAAAACTTCTCCCATAAAATAAAAAAAAAAAAAAACAAAACAAAACAAAACAAAATAAAGAATAGTAGGGAGGGCTGGAGAGATAGCTCAACAGTTAAGAGCACTGGCTGCTTTTCCAGAGGTCCTGAGTTCAATTCCCAGCACCCACATGGTGGCTCACAACCATTTCACAACATGAGATCTGCAAATGCAAACGCCCTCTTCTGGCCTGCAGGGACACATGCAAGCAGAACACTGTATACGTAATAAATAAATTAAAAAGCAAACAGTAGGGCGCAAAGGCCACAGGGGCAAGGGAGAATGCCTGCCTGGGGAAACACTTGCCTTGCAAGCATGAAGAACTGAGCCTGATGCAAAACAGCCAAACATGCAGCATGTGTGTGTGATCCCAGCACTGAAGCAGACACAGGTGGGTTCCTGAGACTCGCTGGCTACCTAGCCAGCTTAGCCTAATGGTTAAGTTCTAGGACAGCGAAAGAGATCCTTATCTCAAAAAACATGGTGGTCAGCACCTTTTCCAATGACACCAGAGGCTAACCTCAGCTCTCAATATGCATGCACATGTGTAAATGGGTACACACACATATAAACTATGAAAAAGCACTATAACTAAATATTCTGAAAACAGTATAAAATGCAAATGTCACAGTGTCCAAATGCTGGGATTTGGATCCAAATCTGCAGATCATAATCTAGTATGTTGGAACAGTATCTGAATTTATAAAGTAAGTTACATTTACTTACTCCATGTAAATTACTATAAAATAAACTTTGTTAGTGGAAAAATAGAGATCAGAAGAGGGGGTTACAGTAACAATAAACTCTTTTTCTATCACCATTTCTACTTTAGGAATGCTTTATGGTCTGAATATTAACTAACTGCCTCAGGTTTCTAAGTAAAACCCAGGACTCCCACTAATGAATGGTACAACTGTGGAAGCCTGTAGAAACTTAAGGAAGTAAATCACTGAGCTGGTACTGACTTCAGATGTCTTATCCCGGCCTTTTCCTGTTTCTCTTTGTCACCTGTCCACCATGGGATGAAAGCTCCTCTGCCATACATTCCAGCATCCATGATGTTCTGAGAAGTACCAGAGGCCAAGGAACCATGGCCTGAGCCCTCTGAATCTGTAGACCAGAACAAACAGCTCCTCCCTCAAGTTGCCTCTGACAGGGATTTTGTCACAGTGACTTAAAAGTAATTAAAACAAGCACTTATCAAAGACAAACATTATATTCTTGCTGTAAACTAAAGTTAACTCAACAATCAGAACTAGTCCAGAGGTTTTCTTGTTTCAACCCAGTCAATGAATTGAATTCTACTCTTGTTCCATCTTCAGTCATTATTCTGCAAGTCTGCTTAGTGACAAGAAAATGAATTTAAAAATGAACAAGTAAACTATACGCCATGGGGCCAGTGGGCCACATGCTTTTTCTGAGGCTGTTTTAGGGCTAGTTCTGATCAGTTACAAGCATACCTACCCTGTAATGTGCTATGTGGTGAGTCAGCTATGTTAAGAACAGCTTGTACTTTGAAACTAATCAGAGAGTATCAGCATTGGAAAAGGTAAATGCCAATGAGATTCCCTCAGACTGTGATAAGAAAGCTACAGATCAAATGTTCTTAAAGATTTAGGCTTGGTGAAAGGAGCATAGGTCATAAAGTCCTGAGATAATTAAGAAGTACAAACTTCCATCCTTACGGGAAATACAAAAGAGAAAAGGAATCTGATGGGAAACAGTAACTTGAAATATAGCACAGTAGAGGCCTATCCAAAATGCCAGCTGTAGTTATCTCAAGTTTTTTATATTAGGTATAACTTTTCTTCATTACAAGTTGTTCTACAGAGTTTAGATTACTTTTGAAATAAAGAAAAAAATTCAGACAAAACTAAGAGCAAATGTCTCAAGTATTTCCAGCACACATTTTTTAAAAACCATATAAATCAAACTTACTGGTTCATAAGATAGACCATCTGCAGATGCAACCATGGTCTCTGCTAAATCCAGTACATCTGCTCCAACATCTGCATTAAAACAAAGTTTTTACACTCTGGACTCCAATCAAAACTAACATCTGCTATAAAACAACTGAGATAACTTTCATTTGTTCAAAAGTTAAAACAGTAGTATTATGTAGCTTTTGTAGACAGTATTCTGAAATTAAAAATGATTTTATATTTCTCCTTTTTGCTCTGAAAAAGATGACACGTGGTTAAAAAAAAAGAGCTAAGGTTAATTGACCGACTAACATGTCAAAATTAAATAGCCTCTAAGTACTAAAGATGCTGAACACAATATCAATCATAAGAATTATTTTAAGGATTCAAAGAAATTATACGGCAAATCTACGGAGACTTTAAAAAAATACCAAATAGGAAATTTTACTTTGAAAGACTACAATTTTAATGGTATTTAAATATTCAAAAATGACATATATTCAGGATCAGTGAGAATTCAAACTGTAGTTACAATGTACTTCCTTATCTCTTAAAACCACTAACATAAAGAATACTGAAACTGGTGGTAGCGAAGGTGTACTCACACTGACACTTCATGGCAACAGTAATGTCTATGTTGATTCTCAACTTGCTGAAAGAGAAAAGGGCAGCCATCAGTAAAACACCAGAAATGAAAACCAACACACCCATGAAAAATACGGATTTCAGACAGTAAAACACAAGTTAGAACTGGCATTCCTTAAAATTAGAACAAGAACATTAAAAAAAAATTCTCTTTTGTGTAAACTACCTGATGTAGGTATTGAACTTTGGTTCAATAATTCCAAGAAATTAAGGTTGGCCTATTTAAACTTCAGATAGAACAGTTCTTTAAGGACATGAAACCTGAATCAAATAGGAATTCCAAGTTTTTTTCTTCCATTTATCATAAAAACCATACATCATACATTAAGCTGGGTGTCCTTCAAAGCCGTTTCTTTAACTCTGGAATGGAAATATCAAGTAGATGCTCCAGGTTCAAGTATTAGTGTTCAGAGGAACATACATGCCTGGCATACATGCCCAACAGAAAAACAGCCACCCTTAGATCAGGCCTGGGTCAGGACAAATGAGAGCAAACTACCAGGAAAGCATCGGAGGCTTATGGATTTACAGCCATAGAAAGCTTTCACTTTGAGACAGGCTCTCACTTAAGATCTTACTATGTAGATCAGGCTGGCCTTAAACTCAGAGATTCATTTGTTTCTGCCTCCAAAGTGCTGGGATTAAAGGTGTGTACCACCACAGCTTGACTTTACATGGCCTTTAAACAAGATTCAATCAATGCTTTATTTGCAAATGACTAGCTCCTATAAAATTAACTTTCAAATACCAGAATTAATTAAGCATTATGTGGTGGTTTCAATGAGAATGTTTCCAATAGACTTGCATATTTTCAATACTTGGTCCCCATTTTGGTGAGATCTTGCTAGTTGAAGTACATTACTGGAGGAGGGCTTTGAGGGTTTTATGTAGCCTACACCCACTTCCTGTTCATTCTCTTGTGTTTGACAATGTGATCAGCTCCTGCAGGCATGCTATCTTCTCTGGTATTATGGACTCTAACTCCTGGAGCTATAAGCCAAAAAAAAACCTCTTTCACAAGTTATTTTTAGCCAAGGTATTTTATCACATCAACAGAAAAATCACTAACTAATATACATTACTAACAGGAGAACGGCATTAACATTCAGTTCTGTGTTTCCTATCAAACTTTTTGCTTCTAATGATTTTTTTCAACTGATTTCAATAGGAATTAAAATTTCAGATCATCCGTCTTAAAATTGTCTGGAACTCAAACCACTTGATGTCAGTACATGTAAAGCTCAGGGAGAGCCGAAAGAACCGGGGAGGGGGGGGGGGGGCAAGAAGACAGACTCCTGACCCACCTGAGACCACAAACAAAATCAAGTGTTTCAATGATGCTAAACACAAAGGAAGTAAGAGCATCGGTAAGGTTCCTGAAAAGTAACCAGGACCTTGACTAGAAAAGATGAGTGGCACTACAGGCAAAGAGACTGAGGCCCAACAAGAGTTAGGTGTATGACGAGCCCAATGCTATGCATCATCTACAAATTTCAAGTTATTTAGGTCATAAACTCATGAGAAAAGTCCTATCCTTACTATTTCTATTTTACAGAACAGAAAGTCAAAGCACACACAATACAGAGTTAGTGACACTGCCCAGAACTGTGTGTATGACACAGCCATTAGCAGAGCTGGGATGTAAAGAAAGAGTAAACGCGTCTCTCTGCCCATTATCTGCAGCCCATCAGAAACATCCAAATAAAGCAACTGAATGACTGTCAAGCTACTTTTGTCTCTTAGTACTTTGTCTTCAAAGGTTTAAAAGTAATTTATATCAAAATTCAGCTTAGCTTACACATAACTGTCACCTCATCCCCAGGCTAAGAAAAAACATGTTTTTAGGTGGGTTTTTTTGGAGAGTGTGGGGCTGAGGGTTGTAAGCAAGTGCATACTGAACCTGTTTTAGAATTTAACCAGTACTTAGAGGACTCTAAAATGCTTCAACTAATACAAGCAACTAATGAGAATTTCCAGTGCTATTTCTTCAAAACTATGATAAACCAAAACAAAACAATGGATACTTTCAAAGGATATTTTTTAAAATGTGATTCTAAAGGTATCAAGAAGAAAAACTTTGTTACCTAGAAAAATCTTTGTCTACTTCATATTCGTACTTCATCCACGTATCTTGATACACTGAGAATTCCATTATTGTTAATAAAGCCATAGTGGTAAATGCTATTAGAGAAACTGAGGAATCAAAAAAAGACAAACAGAATTAAAACAATAAAAAGTAAATAACTATCTTAATTAAAACAAAATAAAAAGTAAATAACTATCTTAAGCAGCATTAAATGAGGGAAAGAAAAGTGTCCAATATGAACATTATTTGAATAAACAGTATAAATGATTTCTCTTTAAATGTTATCAACATTTTAAACCAGCTCAGAAATGAAAACCCAGAGTGAGCACAAACAGGAACACAGACATCTGCATACTGAGAGAGAATTGCTTGTCTTCAGTGTCAACAGTGTCCATCACCAGACAGACAGCAGTTAGAGTAATAAACATAAGCATGCTGACAGTGCCAACTTAAAAATATTTCCTTCATTATTAAGAAATACATGTGCTCAGAATGCAACTTAAGACAAACTAGGTCCTGAGATGCCATAATATCTGTGAGCCAGAAAATCAAATAAGCTCTCCAAGCCTCTAAAATATTTTCATCTATTTTGCAATATCCTAAATACATTACTACACTGCAAAATAAAAACCTCATCAAAAGAATTCACTAAATAATACAAGATACAAGGCAGGCTGTGCAACAAGAACTGGCACTCTTTTCCCTCATAGGGGTTAGAAGTAGCAAGGCATTTTACTGCACTTTATTTTATTTACTTGGGCTTTTTGTTTGTTTTCTGTTTTTTGAGCCAGAGTCTCAAGTAGTTCACACTAGGCTACAACTGGCTATGTAATCAAGAATGATCTTGAAGTTGAGATCTTCCTGCTTCCACCTCCCTAGTGTTGGGATTACAGGCATGTACCACCATGCCCAGTTTATGTGGTGCTGGAGTTCAAAGCGAGGGCTCCACATATCCTAAGCACTACCAACTAAGTTATATGCAGCCTACAATACACATATTTTTTTTTACCCAATGAGGTTGCAATAGCATATGAAATGTTACCTTATTAATTCATCATAGGGAAAAATAATAGGAAGTATTATTATAGGTATAGACTTTTCTTACATATTTTATCACTTTATTTTAACAAATACTCTTATTTGTATCAAGCATTGCTCTAGGCACTTACACATAAAAAGTTACATAATACATTAACCCTAGCAATATAAATACTAACATCCTCATTTCACGGAAGAAGTAAGACAGATAGATGTAACTCAACTAGCTCTCACTCCACTCTGGGGACCTTCTTAGAGCAAGTCTTTACTGTCACCCAGCCCAGAACAGGAACAGGGCTGTGTCAGCAGCCTTTCCTACCTCCCCTCACCTTCAAATCCATTTATATGTAAGAATATAATATATATTGTATGTAATATAATGTATATAATATATATAATAATATATAAGCACAGTAATGCACAACTAAAACAGCACCGAAGTGTAAATTGTACTACTTGCCCACCAACATTTAATAAACTCTGCTAAAGGCACAGAGAGACCGCCAGACGCTACAGAGAATACAGACAGCAAAGGCAGAGCAATCTGGCACAGGATGAGCAGTAGCAAAGGCACTGTAAGGCCCAGCGGTGAGCTCATCCTCATGGCCAGCGCCCACATGTTGGTGAGCAGTAAATCGGAGTCTGAAGTGAGCTCACCTGTTCCCCCACTGGCTGATGTCTCCACATAGCTGTCAGGAACCTTGGGAAAGGCATCTAACTCTTTCACCAAACTTAAGGTTTTTTTCCGATTTAGTCGCCTCATCTTCAGGAAAACTTTCCTCTTCCTTCATATAGTCATGCTAAGGAACAAACAGGTAAGTGAATATATGACCAATTTTCTCAGAAAGCAGCATTCCCAACTCTCCTTGACAAAAAAAAATTTATTACTCTTTTCTCCGTTCCCACTCTGACAAAATTATGAATGAAAGATAATACACAAACACACATTAGATAGAAAAACAATCAAAAGTGGGGAACTGCCGGGCGGTGGTGGCGTACGCCTTTAATCCCAGCACTGGGAGGCAGAGGCAGGTGGATCTCTGTTGAGCTCGAGGCCAGCCTGGTCTACAGAGCGAGATCCGGGAAAGACGCAAAGCTACACAGAGAAACCCTGTCTCGAAAAACCAAAAAAAAAAAAAAAAAAAAAAGCAGGAAACTGTCACATTTTTAACATTCAAAAAGTATTTAAATTTAAATGTTAAATTTTAACACTTAGAATTTTTTTGTATTAAGTTGACAAATTATATATAATTTTCATATATATGGAAAAGAAGTTATAAGGTAACACAAGCTGTGACTAAGTTCTCAGACACGATATTAGGAACATGGAGAGCTGATCACACAGACAGTAAGGAAATACACAGTGTTCAAGCCATTTCCTAAGGTGGCAGACTTGCAAATGATCCCAGCACATCTTCTTCAACACATTTAAATCATCTCCAGATCACTTTCAAAACCTAAGCAGAAACCTAAGACTGGCACTGCAACCATTCAATCTCTATTCACTGTATATGACTGAGATTTTTGTTTATGTGTGTATGGTGTATACTTGTGCATCTGCCATGCATGTACATGTGTATGTGGAAGCCAGAGATCAATGCTAAGCATTGTCCTTAATCTCTCCACCTTACTTTTGAGACAAGGTCTCCCACTGAACCTGGAGCTAATCAATTCAGATAAACTGGACAGCCAACAAGCCCCCAGAAGTCCTCTTGTATCTGTCTCCTCATTGCTGGGATTAGAGGTGCATGCCACCACACAGCTTTTAACATGGGCACTAAGGATCCAAACTCTTCAGGCTTGTGCAGTAAAATACTACTCTCCCCTAAACTCAGTCCAAGTATAAGTACAGATCTCTGACAGCACACGGACAGCCCAACTCTACATCTCATTCCCTCTCATCTCCTGACTAAATGGCTCAAGGTTATCATCTTTCGTGGTACTAAGTCCAAGAGAAAAACTTCATACTGTAGTTTTGTCTACAATGTATTGATGTCCATATTCTCACCTTCCACCCATGTGTGTGTGTTTCATGTGTGTATGTGGGTGAGAGAGATAGATCATTTTCCTATGAAACAGTCTCTTACCTTGTCCTAAGAAATTCAACAAGCACCCAAATCTCAAAATCAAAAGCTGAAAAGCCAAACTGCTTCAAAACCTAAGATTTTGGAATTGGACATGATGCTCATTTTTCCAAGGGATTTCCTGATCCCTCATTTTCCATCTAGATTTGGATTCCTCCTAATCTTCATTTTCAGCTTTAATCCCTCAGAAGACTATCTCCTTGCCTTCTACAATATATATTTCTTTCCTAGTCCAACACTGAAATACTTCACCACTACTTTTCCTCCACTTTCTTGTCTTAATGATTAACAACAGTACACACCAAACTGCACAAGCCAGAAACACAGGTTACACCTTCAGACTTAACCTCTTCCTAAGTTTCTTTATTTGCTTTCTTCCCAGGGGCTCAGAAGTCCCTTACCTTAGTCTCCATGGCCACAATTTGTGGCACTGCTTCAATTCACTTCCCTTACTACTATGAATCAATTATTGACAGCCATCAGATTGCATATTATCTCTCTTAAAGCCCTTGAGTCACTTCCCATGACACAGTATTTAGACCATCCTAAAATGGCTTCAGAATCCTTCACAAACCAAGTCCATCAAACCCAATGTCTTCCTGTCTGAGTTCTAGCAACACTGAAAACCTTTCAGCGTTCATTCTGCTCTCTGCCAGAGTTCTCTGTCCTCTCCCCCCAGTTACCACGTGACAGACTCCACTTACTCTTCTGGGTCTTGTGTGCCTAGAACTGTTTCTAGCCACTACCTGCATATTCTGTTTTCTCCACAGGGCAGTGAGGGTAGGAACCCTATCTAACATCACCTCTGCAATGCCAATGCCTCACATAGCAGGCAGATAAACACTGAGGAAAGGAAGGGAAGCACCCACAGCAGCACAGACTGCAAATCCAAACTGTCGTATTTGGGTATATGAACATTTAGAAACACTATCCAGGAGGAACAATTTTGTTTTGTTCTCTAGAGAATCACCAGCTCTAAACAGTAGCTGTATAACGTTGAAGAAATAACTACTTCCAAAACTTAAGTATACTTTCAAAGTAAGCTTTATAAATAAAGTTTAAATTATATTATGAAACTATGGCAAGTAGCTGTTAGTCTCACAAACTCCAAGAACAAACACAATCTATGCATTTCCCCTCCCTTGAGCCAGACAGTACAGCCACCCAGTCTCAGGCCTCCTCCGCAACTGTTTCCTAGGATTACCATTTTAGAAGGAAGCAGGCTGCCAGTCTACTACTTCTCCTGTCCCGTTCCTGCAAGCTCACTAACTACTTCCAAGAAACCCATTCCACCTCCAACACTTGTCACTGTATATGCCACTGCTGTGACATGAACAAGTTATCCAATTGCTGCTCTTTATGAAATCCTATTTCCTCATCTTATAACTCCCATTCAATATTTCATTCCTAAGACTCTTGGGGTAAAAAGTTATGTGTTCTTAATCATATTTCTCATCCCACCTCTTCTCTTTGATAATAATAGCCCTAATAATAGCAGTTAAAACATACAGAATAACTTTCATGTTAGGTACTATTGAATACACTTAACATATTAACTTACTCTTCTATACCACAGATGCCACTTTTATTCCTTCTTATAAATAAGAACAGTCATACATTTTTCCCAGAAAGGTGCAGGTGGTACTATGTAGAAGAGGGATTTAGTTCCAAGCAGCCTGGCTGCAAAGTCTGTTCCCAATTCCAGTGGCCCTGCCTTCAGGACTTGTTGCCAACTTCTATGGCTATCTAGACACAATCATAACTTCCCCATAGCTTCTGTACCTAGATCAGTCAGTACTTGTTTTTCCCCCCTCATTCCACCATTATCTGATGTCTCCAAAGGCATCATGCACAGTATGGTGTATGCATGTATGGTGTATACGCATACATGTAGGCAAAACACCCATACACATAAAATAAAAATAAAATTAAAAGAAGAGGAACAGTATATAATATAGGGTTTTTTGCTTTGGATATCCTTATTTAATAAAATTAACACTGTAATTTTATCTATTTCCATCTTCAAACCCAGCCTTCACTGGCATTATTCTTGTATCTATTTCCATATTGTTCTACAAAATCCAAAGACTAAGGAGTCTCTGCATGATGCTTCTGTTCACCGGTGGACACCGTATGTACACTTTAGTGATCTCTATCACCGATAGACACTGTGTGTACACTTTAGTGATCTCTATCACCGATAGACACTGTGTGTACACTTTAGTGATCTCTATCACCGTTAGACACTGTATGTACACTTTAGTGATCTCTATCACCATTAGACACTGTATGTACACTTTAGTGACTCTATCACCGTTAGACACTGTATGTACACTTTAGTAATCTCTAATACCACTTCTGCTTTCTTTGCTGTCTCCCCTAAACTGTCCTTTAAAAAAAGTAACAAAAATTAAACCTCAAGGATGTGCTGATAGCAACTAAGACAATACTTGACAAACTGCTTAAGAAATAATAAACCTCTTCCTGTTGAAATAGACACTAACACTCCTGAAAGTAATATATAGTCTACTTCATCATATCAATTTGAATATAGTGAGATAAAATACAGAACTCAAGAAACTTTATATAGCCTGCTCAATTATTTTAATTACATTTATCGGGGAGGAGCATCTGTGCCATGGCACACATGTAGATGTAGAGAACAATCTGTAACAATCAGTCCTCTCCTTCTACCATATGAGTCCTGGGGATGAAAAGCAAGCACCAGGTTTAGTGGCAAGCACCTGTACCACACGAGCCATCTCATTAACACAAGAATATATCTTCTTTTACCAATGTTTTATGAATCACCTGCTATTTATAATATATACTTCTCAATGAGAAATAGTTAAATGATTAGCATACCACTACACTGTGGATTAAACTATGCCTTCAAAGAGATATGCGCAAGTCCTAGGCCTTGGTGTTTGTGAATAAATCTTATATGGAAATATCTGGAACATTATTTGGAAATCACAGTGAATCAGAGTGATCCAAAAAAAGGACTGGTGTCCTTTCAAGACCACATGGTGAAGGCCCCAATATTGAGGGGAGAATGTCATGCAAAGACAGAGTGTAGAGTGATGTGTTTACATGCATTGTTCAGAAGCCAGGAAAGCAAGGAAACATCTGTCTCAAACCTTCAGACAAGGCAGGACCCTTCCTACATCTTGGTTTTAGACTTTGACTCTTGAAAACTGAAAAGAATAAATTTTCACTACTTTAAGCTTCCTAGTTTATAGTAAATAGGTTTAATCCCATAAGTTTCTTAATGATAAAAAGTTCACTGGAAAGACAAGTAATATGCTGTACAAGTTTTGTGATCTGAAAAACCAACCAACCAACCAACCTACCTTCTAGGAACTTACTAGTTGTTACAACAAATGTGAAGATCTTCAACTTCTCAGAATTCCTTACATATTGTTATCTAAGAAAGTAGTACATATGGGATACACCAGGTATTAATCAAAATAGAAGTGAGGTATTGAGTAAATGTTAAGAGACGACCAACAAGTGTCATTCCAACAGGAGTCTGGAAGTGCTTTCCAGCAATAGGAAGTAAGGACAACAGTAGCTCCTCAAAGTTCCTAAGATGTTCTCCAGGAGCAAGAGAATGAGTTAACGAAGAAGTCAGAGAGCATTCCTGACATAAACACGACTGGGTGGAGCCACAGAAAGACAAATGTGTGCATTACTAATTAAGAGGGTAGCAGTTTTCCAAGTCCAGGAAGACAAGTATTTGGAGTTTTCCTATTACCCATACCCTTCAAGTGTTTAATCAATTTTAGGGGTTAGAAAGAAACTATTTTTAAAAGGTCTTCTTCAGTCTCTATTGTGCCTAAGTTGTCAAGCCACAGGAAACTTCAGGAGCCAAAACATGACAACAAAAACTTAGGGAGCAGTCCGGTAGGCACTGTTCTAAGTACTTCTATTACCTGAAACACGTACTCTTCCCAGCTTTTTATGAGCTAAGTACTGCCTCATTATTCTCTTTTTATTGACGAGGAAACTAGTACACAAAAGTTAACTGATAAGCTCTCTGGCATTAAAATAATTAAAATCTAAGGAAACTATTAAATAGAACTTGTAGCACACAAAGTCTAAAACCAACTTCTGCTAAAAAATGAATTATTTAAACGACTAACCCCGATGAAAATAAACTTGTTAATTTTTTTCTAAATCTTTGTTGTTCTTGTTCTAGACTTACAGTGACTTCCTTCCAGAGATCTCTAATCTTGCCATATTTCTGTAACGCGTACCACGAAGCTATTACAATAGTCAGTAATGTACTGAAGTTTACTATTAAAAAAAAAAAAAAGCTTCTCCTCCTCCCAACCCTCACTACAAAAACATGAAACTTCTACTTCTCAGGATCTTCTACAAAGTGAAAGAGTAATAATAACTTAAGGTAACTAATAAATAAGGTAGGCAATAATCCCTCCGCAAACCAGCAGACTCGTTTCTTTAGGTATGTACGCTGGAGTTCTACATATTAGGTTGAAGAATGAAATTTGGAATTACAGCTTCAAGCCAATGAACAAAGCCTATTTTAACTGTCTTTAATTGCTTCCGAAAACCTATCTCGCAACATCGGAACAGCTGTTACTTGCCTCTGGTCTGCAGGGCACTGAATTCCACACTTGAAGTTAATGAAACGTTTGCTCACAGAGCTGTCAGATCCAGTCTATGGATACCCATGGACGTCCCGGAGCAAGAGCTGAGCCATCCCCTCCCGAGAGGGTCAGCAATTGACAACGGGACACACACCACTTGTCTTGGCGTCTGCGCCCGGCCCGGCCCCTCTCTCGGCCTGATTTTTAATTTAAAAGATAGCACGGTGCTGGCGAAGCCGCTACTGTCCACGACAGCCTGGACAACACAACGGAAGGCGCGGCCGGCCGGCCGGCGTGGAGCCGTGCAGCGGAGCTCCGGGCCGCGCTGCGCGGACGCCGGCCACACTCGGCAGGAACGCCCCCAGGCAGCGGAGCGGCTCCGCAGCCCGCTGCTCCCCGCAGAGCCACGGAGGTCCCAAGCTGGGCCAGCCGGGACCGTGAGCCCTTCAACCGCGCCCACGTCCCCATCCGCCCGCAACTACCGAAGACAACGGCCCAGCAGCGTTCCGGCGTCTTACCTAGTGCTTCGGTCCCAGCCCACCGCCATGTTTCACAGGAGCCCGGGTCGCCCGAGCCCGGCGTCCACGAAAGTATCGCGAGAACAAAAGTAATTCGCACAGCTGATCGAGTTCGAAGGGAGCGCAAGTGGAGACCTCGCGATATTTCTTGTGTTGCTGGCGTGTGATGTAATCAAGCGGCGCGGTAAACCTGAAAGGGGCGTGGCTACGTGGAAATGAAGTGAAACCACGAGGTCTGTCCTTTTCCAGGAAGGGAAAAGTTAACCTTCCGTCTGACGACGTGAGAAAACGGAATAGAAAGGCTCTCAACTCTCCGGACCGGAAGTCGTCATGATCCACCGTAAGGCATCGGCAGCGTTTTGTTTCAGGTGGTTCAGTGGCCTTTGTCTTTGCGTTTTCATGTTTCCTAGTCAAGAACACCTAAGCATCCCCCCTGGTTAGGGAACGGTTTGAATTAAACAGTCAGTGTGCTGAATGTAAGAAAACAAGACAGCGTTGCTCGTGATCCTTCTCCAAACGCTTCCTCTTCCCCTGCCCCTTCACAGCACAGGACGTAATAGAGGGGCTTTGGGAAAGAGGCTGACTCGCAACAGTCGGAGCGGGAGCCTTTTCCAGCTCCCTTTCCATCCGTCTGCTACCGGATTTCACTCATGTGTTGTCATTTAAAAATCAGGTTTGCTCAAAAGAAAGCAGAGAACAGTTCTAACAAAGGTGTGTTTATGACGAATGCTTAAACAGCAGTTTTAAACATTTCTTTCTCATTTAATCCTAACATTATTATTGCAAAATGATACCATTATTTGCTTGCCTAATAGGTGAGGAATTTTAGTTTTAAGAGGGGAGCAAGGAGTAGCTAAGAGCTGCCAAAGTGAACAGGCTGGGAAGTCTTGACTACAGTACTAAACCTTACACTATGTGAACAACAGCTCAGCCTCTATGCAAGTAAGAGCCTGTACACTCAGACCTGGGGAGGGGACAGGGACCAGGAATGTCTGTTGGTGCCTTCATGGCCAAGGTTATAGCTAAGATAAAGTTGCGTTTTAGACACGTATTAACTCAACACATTATTATGCCCATTTACAGAACAGTACACCACCTGTTCAAATTATAGTGTTTTACTTTGTGAATACCTTCTACTGAGAAAGGAAATTTCGTATGCCCCAAACCAAGAGCAGACACATACATGCCCTCTGACAGCAACTTAATTTCCAGACTTTCAAGATTACTCCAATTAATTGAAAGTTCCCAGTTGACTTACTTAGGAAACATAGTTGAATGGATATAAACACAATCTCTGAAGCCAGGATTTCCTAGGTTAAAAATCCAGTCTGACATCTTAATAGCATGTGACTTGGAGCATATTTCATTTCTTTGTATCTCCATCCCCTCATCTGAAAAATGGGCATAATAATGTGTTGAGTTAATTCGTGTCTAAAATGCAACTTTATCTCAGCTATAACCTTGGCCATGAAGGCACCAACAGACATTCCTGGTCCCTGTCCCTTCCCCAGGTCTGAGTGCATAGAGGCTGGGTTGTTGTTCACATAGTTACACCTGATCCTTAGTCTCCAGAGTAAGTTTCTTTTATGGTAATAACTATCCCCCCGAGAGTTAGCTTTCACAATAAAGAAAAATTAACTAATTCAATCCTACTATATTTTAAAAGCCACAGTTCTCAAAGCTAATATGAACATAAAAATTAATTTCCCCCAAAGAATGAAACTTATTAATCAATCAATCAATCGTCTTTCTTTGTTGTTTTGATTTGTTTGGTGCTTGAGATCAAACTTGGGGCCTCTACAAGTTAGGCTGCACCACTGAGCTACACTGCCAGTGCAACTTGCCTAATTTTATAGGTTAATTTCCATGTAATTGGTGGTGTTATATCTGGAAAAAAATCTGCTTTTGAGAAAAATCCATCCCATTTTGTTTCACTTATTGAACACAGGTTTTAGTGTGGGGTAAACTGGTTCAAAACAACCTGTATTCAGTGAAAATGCTCAAAGTAAATTTTCATGCCATCATTTTGCTGCTCTGAAGTTTGGGTATGAGCTTTAGCAAGTAAATAACAAAAGTAAGAGAAACTGATATTTCTTTACTATACAACGGCTCACATGTCTCTCAAAAGGATTTTGTGTTTTATTCCTACCCCAAATCAAGTCCTTCTCTATATAGAAAAATAAACATCACTACCAACCTCAAATTTGATTGGATTATAGTCTGTGTTCCCTTCCTCTCCCTAGCTGCCAATCCCAGTGGTCAGTTTGTTCATGAAACTCTTGCCAGGTTCTCAGCTGTACACCAGTGTCCCCTTTTCATGTACTTCAACTCTAGGTGATTGCTAGTTTTCTACTCAAATTTTGAGTAGAAACTATGTGAACAACAACCCAGCCTCTATGCAATAAGAGCCTGTACACTCTATCAACTAGCTTTTGTTTGCTGAGACAGACTTGACCTGTATCCCAGGCTGGTCTTGAACTTGGGACGGATCTTCTGCCTCAGCCTCCCCAGTGCTGGTATTAGAGGTGTGCGCCACCATACTTAACTGTGTGTACATTTTCAGACTATGTAGATTATGCACTTCTGTCATTTTTCCATGTACCAATTTGGAACTTGAAAATCTGAGTTTACTTATTTATATGAGCACATATGTCCAGCTAGCTCCCATCATCTGTTTGTTTGGTTTGTTGTTGTTTGTTTTTTAGTGTTTATGCTAAATATCTGGATGCTCTCTGCACCATGCTTACAATACTATAGTGTCCTGAGTGTGCATCACAATTTACTCTTACCTTGTTTTACAGTCTTGTGTTTTCCTTCTTTTCTTTCCCTTCCTTCCCCTCCTTTATTTCTCTGCTTCTCTACCCTCTTTGACATGATTTCTTATAGCCCAGGCTGGCATTGAACTTGCTATGTGTAACCTTGAACTCCTGACCCTGCTGCATCCACCTCCTAAGTGCTAGGAGCACAGCTGTCCTGTGCTCTTAGAACACTTTAATTTCTGCTTCAGTCTGAAGAACTTCCTTTAGCATTACTTCTAGAATAGGTCTAGACAGACGCACTTGGCTTTGATCTGGGAATGTCATTATCTGTTCATTTTTACAGAATAGTTTGCTGGCGGGTATTGTTGTTCTTCTTTACAATGAAAATCTCACAGCACCCCCAGCCCATGTCTCTGCTAGGAAGTGTACTGTTAGGTGAATTGGGTCTCCCCTGTGTGTTCTTTCTTGTTCCTTACAGCCTTAGGGATCTTCTGTCTTCCACCTGTAAGAGCTTGCTTGATTATACCATTGTGGGGTAGACTTTGTTGACTTAAATTTGATCGGTGACTTTTGCTTTTTCTATAAGATTTTTCTGTCCTCCAGGTTTGGGAACTTTCCTGTTATTATTTCTGTGAATCGACTTTCTTCTTCTTTGGCATTCACAGATCCTTCTTGCACCCCAGCATACTTGTTCTTTCAGTTGTTCCCAGTCTTCCCATCACTTTTTCCCTTTCTCATTCTTTTTCTCTCCAGCAGTGTATTTTAAGCTCATCTTCAAGCTCACAGACTCTGATTAACCCACTTGCTTTTGATGCCTTCCATGAGATTCTCAATTTCACTGTGAATATTGTTTACCTTGGGAACTTTTTAATTGCTTTCAGCTTGATGAGTTCCTCTCTTAGGATATTGAAACGTTTCTGTTCCCTTAAGCTCATCAGATTTTCTTAAAACAGTAATTTCAGCTTCTCACCGAGACTTCTCTTGTGCAGGTTACTGCCTGAGTCCTACATGAGCCCAGCGTTCCCCAAAAGCTTTTGGTGCAAGCTGGTGTGATGTGGGAGCACCCAAGGGTAAGGTGTTTACTCTAGTCCAACTTCCACTGCACTGGTCTGTCCCCAGGGAGGCTGGTTTCTCTGAACTTGTTGTCACTTCCCGTGTTGTAGCACTAGATGGCACCCTGGTGCAGATTTGCTGGGGTTCTGCTATGGGTGTCTTGTCAATGTTGCCCTTTTAGATGGGAATCTAAGCCCAGGTTTGTTCCTATACAGTCTTGGAGTATTGTTGAAAAAGAAATTAAAGCCTGCCTCCTAGAAATGATTCAAGATCCTCCCTGGTACCAGGTTAGGGTAAGATGCCTCTTCCACAGTTACTGGTCTGCAGTTAGTCTGCTGGCTGGATTAGCCCTTGTCGGGGCAGAGTCACCATGGATAGACTCACCTCCATCTCCTGTGTCACATATGTAGCCACCAATTCCACAAAGCTGTGTGATACACCAAACCTACAGCCTGACAAGATCAGTCCAATGAGTTAGGACACAGACTCTCACTGCTGAGGTGGATTTGTATGGTGATATTTTATTTGTGCTGAAATGTGATTTTATTTGTATGTTATAAATAAAGTTGCCTGGAGATCAGAGGTCAAAGCAAGCCATAAGCAGAGTCAGGCGGTGGTAGCATATGCCCTTAATCTGATCACATGGCAGGCAGAGTCTCTGTGTGTTCAAGGACACAGCCATTCATGGTGACACTACCTTTAATCCCAGTACCAACCATAGACACCTCGAGGTCTGTATAGACAGGCAGTGACGAGGAAGTCATGTGGTTGGGTTTAGAGCCAATGAGAAGGCAGAACAGAAAGGCAATAAAAAGACAAG